CCCGTTCGCAACGCGGTCGTTGTATCGTGAAGGTGCATGTGACCTGAGTGTAGCGGCTGTGTCGTCATTTTCTTTTGGAGGCTATTATTGTTGACGGAATTATGGTATCAATTTAGGGATAGTCGGGACCTTGCCGCAGCATTTGGCTAGAAGTGACGAGCAGCGTGTTAAGGATATATGCAAGGATGACAACCCTCATGAGGATGCTCTTGATGTGCTCACTAGGATGCACGATGAGGTGGGTCTTACGATTTGGAGAAGGAGTGGTATGGATTAGGGTGATCAGGACGGCAAGCGCAACGATGCTGGTAACAGGAACTAACTTTCCATCACCAGTAGAGGAGGCGATACTGAGAAAACTGTTATTCCTACTGAACTGTTGTACGCTTACGAATATCTAGTAGTGGCGATGGGAATGAGTTTGGTTTTTTTCAATGGTGGGAAGTATAAAATAGAAGTTGTTGAGCCTCAGCATGTTAACTGGATATACATCTCCTTCTCCTCGAGGGATGATGACCTCTACTAGATCTACAGCGATGATGCCGCTCGACCGTACCAATCAATTTTATGAGCTGATAAGGGAAATGGATGGTAGCAATAGTACAGGAGGAGGCCGTTCTCTACCCGCGGAGTTAGTCCATCACATGTCTACGGGATTTCCAGGTCAAATTTATCGAGAGCGTGGTTGTCGCGTGCGTTCGTAGTTGACCTCCTAAACTTTCAAATATATCGGGTATAACATTGTTTTTTTGGTGTTCTATTGAAGCCATGGGTGAAATGTTAACGAAAAAATAGAATTGTCGGTAAGAAAATAATTTGACCTGGAAATGCTATAGTTCATTGTTTATCTCACCATTTGACTATTACTAAGCACTTGGGGACCGTGACTCGAGGTTTTATCCGAGTACTTGGTGATAGTGAGCAATGAGATTGATGGTGTCACCCCTCGAGTTTAGATACAGGAAGAGCTGCTGAGGCGGTAGCTGTTGCTGAACAACATGAGGGCGGAGGTAGTAGTAGTAGTAGTGATATGGGTGGTACTTCCGTCGGCCGTCAGCGGACGTACTCAATGTCATAGTAATGGATGGTGGAATTTGTAGATGCTTATTGTTTACTATGCAATGCGAGTGGGATTCTAGGTCTTGGAAATATAGGGATTAAATTGTGGTGGTATTGACCGGGATCGAAAAGAAAGCAATGATTGATTTCCTAGTTCATATTGCTGACTGCTATGAGTTCCCTCTATTGCGTTCGGCCGTCACTGGTAAGTTCAGGTTCATCAGGAACGTCGTCCTCAACGGCAGCAGTAGCACAGTTCAATAAATACGCTAATGAGATAGGAGTAGATCTGCACCAGACGCAGATGAAAATACAAGAGCTCGGGAAACGTAATAATGTTGCATCGCTCCGCTAGGTGGTAAATGTTTAGTTGTGTAGTCGCACGAGCAAAGGGCATCTTCAACGATCAATCGGCACGGATTAATGACTTCACGGGGGATATCAAGAGAGTAAGTGGCGGAGGAATGGTAGGGATACAATTTTTGATGTTATTCATTGTGATTGTTATTCGATCAGTCGTTTCAATTTATGATATAATAATTTAGGATTATATCAGTTGTTGTTAGCGATTTTCCGTACGTTCATTCGTGGCTTGTATAATTCTCTGAAAAATTGGGAAATTTTTTCATTCTTTTTTCTTAGGATTTGGACGGATTAAGTCAGAAGATTGACTTATTACAGCAACACGCAAAGCAGTCTGCGGAAAGTAGTAGTAGAACTGGATGTGATGAGAAATAGTTTTCTGTTAGGTCGGCAAGCTACAGCGCATACAAGTGGTATTGTGAAAACGCTTCAAACGAGGTAGTGTTGGCTTTTACCAGAACCGTTATTGTGAAATGTAGACTGATGGGTATCACCAAGGATTTCAAAGACGTATTGGAATTGCGGACTAAAACGTTGCAGCAACAGGACAGGCGGTAGTAATGTTATTAACATTAAGGGGGATATACTGTTGTCAATATTAGGCGAAATATGTACGCATTCTCATCGCCATCAAATCCATTCCAGCAAAGAGGAGGTCAGTACTGTTGGCCTTTTGGGTGTCGAACTGATATGAATGTGTTGTTGACGGTTTTCGATTCGATTCGGGTAGTGGATTTTTCCATAGGTGTGGAAATGGCTGAAGCGTCGTCTTTCTCTGGAGGCCCTCCAAGCGGGTTTGACATCGAGGGAGGTCGGGACGAGCAGCAGGAGCAGATGTTGCAAGGCCCTGGCTATCTGAATGCTAGGGCTAATGCTGTGCAAGCTGTGCAGAGAACTATAGGTAATATATGCAACAAGTAGGAGGATGAAATTATATTGTATTTTCGCGGAGGTATTGTGAACGATTTGTTTTTACTCGGAAAAGTGTTCATCTTGGCGCCTAAGAACTCACATATTGTTATTGAGGTTGTCAACCTTCGTCTTTTCTCTATCACCGCACTGTCGGATTAGTATTAAAATGTATGTCTTAGTTCAAAATTTTTCTTACTCATTATAGAAACTCATAGTATAGGAAGATTGAGTTTTTGGAGGAATGAAACAGTGTAGAAAATTTCGGGAAAATTTCGAAGAATTCACTAGAAATCTCTGATTGTCATTTACACGCATAGTTGACCATCTGCATATTTTTTCCTCCAGGCGAGCTCGGTCAAATGTTCGAGAAGGTGTCGTCGATGGTGTACGAGCAAGATGAGATGATAATGCGAATAGACTCCGACGTGGATGATACTATGGGCCATCTGAATGAGGGACAAAACCAGTTGTTAAAGTAATGCTGAGGTGATGGGCTTGGGGTTACTTCAGTGTCTTTGTAGGTACTTCCATAGTATATCGGGGAACCGTTCGTTGATACTGAAGATTTTCGCGATACTTGTATGTTTTGTGATATTTTTTGTCCTATTCTTGGCGTAATATGGCTACAGCAGATGAACACATCTACTATGAGGAAGAGCGAGCTATGTCTTGTCTTTCATTAACTATGGTTGAGTTTTATAGTGGGCGAGCATGGAAGATGTGTCTCACCAGTGAGATGGATTGAGATCCGTTGGAGGTCTGGAAGTAGAACGGAGGCTCAGCTCAGCTGCGTTATGGTGTGCCGCACAAGTTCAGTGGTACACTAGCACAGCATGTGGCGTTTTACTCGGGGACAGTGTTACCTGTAGCCGTATAACGATAGTTTATATGACCATTCATTGTGGCACTGTTGAGTTGAAAGTGGAGGGGGGGGGGTCGAGTGGAGAGCTTGGCGTATCATTATGCAGTAGTAGTGTTCATGGAAGTCAACGATCTGTGATTGTAGCAACATTCTTGGTTTTGCCAAAACTTTTGATAAGGGTGGCCCTCAATTGTCTCAACAGAGACATAAGAACGGATTCGGTGCGATTGGTGACAGAAGAATGAAGTGCTTCTTCAGCCTTTTCCTGCTCTCGAGCATGTCCATATTGAGCTCGATAACATTGAAACTGTGTGATTGGTTGGCAGCCCTCAGAGAGGCGGCCACTTCGTGGGACGTTTATGTGAAGCTAGTCTACATCAAGTACTGGGTCGTTATCAAACTTGATCTACTGCGAATCCAATTCGAGCGGAAGATTCTCTTGAGGCCAGCTACGGAGCATGTGGTGAAGGCTCTCCGATCCTGCGGGATGAGGCCAGCAGCTGATGACTCCGCCCTCTCAGGCGGCTATGTTGGAGCCGTGAGGAAAGTGAAAATTGAGGCTAGCCAGAGTGATGGGCATCCCGATAGTGTTGTGGTGAAGAGCATTCCGGAGACTTTCGGAGCCCGCATGTTCGCTGGTATGTTCGGCAGTGCTCAGCGCGAGGCCCGGTTCTACGTCGAGATAGCGTCAAGTCTACCGGTTCCCATCCCCAAGGTTTATCTGAGTAAATGGAGTAGGGCCAGAGGAAGCGAGTTGATTATTATGCAGAACGTCGGCGATGGTTTGTTGGCTGAGGAGCTGAAGAAATGCAAAGATCCACAGAAATTGGTGGAGGAATCATTTAAGGTCGCTGCCAGATTCCACGCTAAATACTGGGGAGCAACGCCGTCTACTCTCACACAGACTCTCTTAGGCCAATACTCTTGGCTGAAGAACTGGGACTACGTACAAGGTCAGCATGAGGCTATGTTCACCTATTATAAAGGTATAGTTGCGGGGATGTGGTCCAAGGTCAAGAGGGCTATCTCTACTGGCAAGGCCGGTGACCGCAAGTACACTGCCGAGTGGGAGAAGTGCCTTGTGGTTTTTATCGACAACGCTATTGAGTACTCCACTTGGGAGGCTTATCAGAAGTCCTTGAGAGAGCACAAGCATCCTCTGACGCTAGTCCATGGTGACTATCATGCTGGCAATCAACTGTGGGATGCCGAGGCCGAAAAGCTCTACACTGTAGACTGGCCTGAAGCCTCAGTCGGGGAGGGCCCTGCTGACATAGCCCAGTTCATAGTTTCTAACGTGAAGACGGATGATCGGCGGAAAGTGGAAGAGGAACTCATCCATGTGTATTGGGATGAACTCGGCCGACATGGTGTTGACCATTCCTCCTATACTCTTGCTATGTGCCGAGAAGCTTATGTTCGTGGGGGTATTGATCGCTGGGTTCAACTGCTGATACTAATGGCCGTTTGCGGTGTAGATTATCCACATATTCTGCCGGACTCATTCATGCAGTACTTTATCGACCAGGTGAACGACTTTATAGTGGACCACAAGGATGAGTATGAGGAACCGTATATACTAGCGACAACATACGACGCCCCGTGGTAGAGGTTGAGACGAGTTGTGATTGTTCCCTAATCTCAGGGTGTAGTTGTGTCATAAAAGTCAATGGTGTGTTGATGATGATTAGGGTTAGGCGTGGTAGCTGTCGATTACTGATACAATCAGGACCTGTTCTCTACTACTAGTGTTGGAATATACACCCCTCCACATATTCTAAGCACGTCCGGTTTTTCGACTCATGCACAGCCACCACAACGAGTATCATCTTGCGGCTTAGAGAGGTATGTACCTTTACCTGATATGACCTCCAAGTTTCAGAGCCTAACCCTTCGTAGTTAGTGAGAAGTCGAAGATTGGTAAAAAGTTTTCTCCACACATTCTTAGCATACACGTGTTGAAATTGCGCCTCGAAATACCAACTTTTACTGGGGGAGTATATCTATAACTCCGCTACTGATCTAATGTTATACATCAACAGAAAGAGGATCGTTCATAATGGTATCCCTCCATATTTCGCTCTCATATTTGGGGGCATCCAGCCAAAACTGAGCAGGGCAGCTGATGAGCACCAAAACGCGCCGAAACAAGGTGTAAAATCTTGTTTCGACATCATCATAGATCAAGTTCATCAACGGATTCATGTAGTAGATGGTCATTGAGGACACCCTCAACATACCATGAACTTGCCTCGCTCCGCTCAAGCCCAGCATCTCAAACATACAGTACATCACACCATTGTGGCGTTCCTCTATATACCGCACTAGGGTTGAATCGGTTCCCATCATAGTAATGTCCATCGGATTAACCGTATGTGCCAAGCCATATTCAACCTTCTCTTATACGCTCTAGTCGAGCTGCTGCCCGGTGACATGCCTGGCGAATGCAGCGGTTTATGAAAGCCTGACCATCGACCTTATTAGTCTCTGACGAACCTCTTTGTGATGATACTAGGCGCCTCATCGTACTCAAGCTCCCGGAAGCAGTAGTAGCCGTTATTACAACCTAAGAGCCTTGTGAGGTATAGTCAGCCTCCAAGCGTAATAAGTGGAATCATGGCTACGGCCTGTCTACTCCCATGCCTCCCTGATGCAAGTATACAGCAGACAACACATAAAAGCCCCTTGAAATGGTTTGATGGGCTACGGAACCCGCCCTATGGCGACCGATTGGACAACAAAGCGGATGATAGAAAAACTCATCGTCACAGGTTGGATCGTCAATGGATGACCCATTCCCTCCTGTGGCTGTATCTCCTCCTTTCTCCAAGCTCTAGGCCCCCATCGCCACGTCCGTTGCAAGAAGTCGCATATCGTCTAGTGTAGACCTATAATGTATGACTCCCTTATCGACACCATTCATCCATGTCACTAAGCGAACGAGGACATCTATGGAGTGAAGACATGGCCCTTCCCATTACAACGACCACAACGTATGGCAACTGACTCCGCGGTGTAAGGCCCAACTGGAGGTCAATCATATTGGCCTAATGCCCCCATAAGAGCTCTATCCCGTTATAAAGACTCCTTACGAGGGTCTCAAACTATCCAAGAGTGCCCCTTGATTAGACCATCACTTGCAGCTACCTCGCAGTAGCCATACCGTTGGCGTCGTCAACTTGGCGACATTCCTTTGGAATATGGCATCTCCCTTCTATCGCTTGAGACTTCTTGATAACGGATCGTCTCTAGTACGTCAACCTCCCCTCTGTCGACCTGTTGTAGTTACTTTGCATCGGACACCTGTGTGGTTTTGCTACCACAACAAACGCGTCAACTCGGGCAAACGTTGAACGTTTGGAACTTCCCTCAGCTGCTGACGTTCAGCAGATGCCTGTCTATCATACCTCCGGCCTAGTGATTCTAACTGCTGAATCCCTGCAGTCTCCCATGACTCTAATGCAAGCCGTGTATGCTAAGCACTGATGGAGATTTCTTAGATTTTTGTGTGTTCTCACTGGCTGAGAATTGAACTCGGACTGAGATGACCCGGCTGGCAAGCTCATAATCTTGTGCTATACATAACAGAAAAGGGATCTTCCACAAAGACATTTCTCCAGGTGTTCAGCCCCATATTTGAGGGATCCAGACTGATCGGCACAAATGATGAACACAAAGGCGCGCTGGAACCTCCAGCCTCCGAGTCGTGGCACATGTGTGTCAACTTACGAGTGCCACCTGAGCTTTGTGGAGGAAGACACGCAAGGTACGCTGATGACAGTCAGAATAGCACTGCTATCCATTGCTATCATAACAATCTTCTTCCGAATCCACCCAAGGTTGCTACCTGGATTGCTCCTAGGATATACATCGCAGATCTCGGCTGAAAATATGATACACTTAACACATCTACGATGCTACTCCAAGTTATCAAGTCAGCTTGGCTAGCATCACCAGTGGCCCTGGGCCACTGGCCCACTAGCAGTGGGGTAGCTTGGAGGACTCATATATCCCTTGTGCCGGCAGCGACTGTGCCAATCGCTGTCCCGAAACGACTTCCGCCGAAAGACAACTCTCTGGCATGGTCTCTGGAGCTCTGCTTTCCCAGAGCACGAAAGAGGGTGTAAAACTCGCCATTCAAGGATCCGCCAGAGCTCAAGACGCATTAGCAGGCTTATGTCTCCGGATATCGGGCTGAAACGTGTGAGAATAATATTCTCATAGGGAAGATATTTCGCAAGATATTCTCAGAAGATCTTGCGAAAAATCTTCTCTCTACTGATGTACAGCATTAGACCAGGCGCGAAGTTATGGATATACTTCCGCGAGTTGATATTTGGCAGGTTAAAATATGAAGTCGCGCAGCGCGCGACTTTAACATCTGTATGCTAAGACTTTGTGGAGAACTTTTAACCACTTTTCGACTTCGCACTAACTACGAAGAGTAAGGCCCAGAAACTTGGAGGTTATATCATGCGGAGCATAAGGGCATACGTCCGTGAGCCGCAAGGAGACTGTGCACGAGACTCGTGCCACGAGTCGAAGAACCAGATATGCTGAGAATTTGTGGAGGGGTGTAGGTTGAAAAGTTACCCTTTATTATATCCCCGATCGTGGAGCTCACTCTGCAATTGATCGTGGATATACCGTAAATACACCCTCAAAATAGTATTTCGAAAATAGTGCACTGTTAACCTCTCATCGGAATCTTGAATTATCATTTCGCCGTTGTTACTGTACTCTCTCGCCATGTAGAATGTATTCCCTCACGCCATCTTATCCAACGGCGCAGTCAACTGTTACAGATATCCAATGTGATGTCAGTGACATGCCAATGTATCATCATCAACGACTACGCTCGTACTCCGTGCGTCTCGTGAATGTGCCATATTGGACGAGTGGTAGCTTACCACTGGTAAGACCAAACAAGCTGAATCAATAATCCTCTTTAAGCTCTCAAGGTAGAGATCCGGCACATTATGACGCTACGATTACTACACAAAAAGTTGGTGATGAGAAAAAAACGAAAAAAACAAAAAAACAAAAAAACAAAAAAATTACTACACAAAACGAAAAAAAATAAAAAAAGGCCAATGAGAAAAGCAATGCCGGCGTGGAACTGCCGGGATGACATAAGAGTCTTCGTCATTGTTTCGCCAACGAGGATGATAATTGACGCGATAGATGTTCAGGCCGAATGATGGATGCGTCAATGTCCTCCAGCACAGACAGAGCTCTTCACCGAGTCGGGCATAACGGGGCTCACCCCACCAAGCTTGAGGATATTGCACGGACCTGCATATGATATGCAGCAACCTTGGGGACAAAATGTGCGCGGTTTGAACTATGGTCTAGTTTGAATCGCGCATAGTCACTATCCGCTACCTGGTTGGTTTCCGGTTCGCTCGATATAGCCGAAGCCTCTCGTTCCCCAAGACTCCCCCCAGGTGTTCATGATTTTCCAATACCTACGACACAAATAAACCAGCAGGAATTACACTGCTACATTGCACTCACGGTGTTCCTTTTGAGGAAGTGCCATACCCAACGATGACCACGTTATGGCATGGATCCAACGCTTCACAATCCTTGGCTACAAGGTTGGGCAGAGATATGCTCGACAACATCGAGTACGCTCCCACCCGTTATGATGCCTCCACGGTAATGTTTGAATGCAGGAGCCACAGCATATATACTGGCCACCACGGGCCCGATTGCCACATTCCTTTTCATAGTTTCTTCATCAGCTGGCGGTATGGTCACCGTTTGATATAATTGCCAAGGCTGAGAAAAATCAGAAAGGCTCGAACGGTTGAGGTCAACCCCATCTGCTAAATTGCTCGACTCCATCATTTCGATTCTATTTTGCGCCCTTTGGACGAAATCTCTCCAGGAGATATCTCCTCGACGAAGAGCATTAACAGTGATACATTCATGTGGCACAGGAACTTGCATTGCATGAAAACCTTAGGCATTCGCTCGAGACAGCTGCCTCACTTTCAGACACTGCTGCTTCACATTAGTGGTGATTGGTTTCTTGCACGCTCCGACCTTAGCCTCGTAAGGGTAGCTGAAATTCTTGACGATACCCTCAGCCATGACATACTTGAATGATTGCCTCGGTGAGCCGCTAGTGCAACCCCTGAAGTACATTGAGTCGCAATGACTGTGAGAACACGTAAAAGATGGATCCCTTATCGAGGATCCACGCTCAGACGAAAGTATCGTCGTCGACTCACATATTGCCATATGACCGACTACAGTCGACTATCTGTTGAACTGAGAATGGGACGACTTTGGGAATCCCAGCCTGTATCTTGAAACGACTTTCCAGCACGACTGAAGAGGAGCAACCAAGGCAAGGAACAAAGACGGGCATGAGTGAGGTTTCGCGCCGAAATATTCGATCAACCTGGAGACTCACCAGCGGCTGCTATCGCGTAGCAGCTACCACAATGTTCTGTTTGATCCCGCACTGGCCCCAACGCGCCTAGATCCTCCCAATCCACCGACGCAGGAGGAGCCTTCAAGTTGTCTCCTAGGTCTAGGAAGGTTATGCTCTACGTGAAGCGATAAGTGAGTAGCCTCACAGGTTGACCCATTGATATTCGAGAATGTTCGTTCCTCCTCGGGTTCAGGATGCTGAACACACGTTAACATTTCATTGAATACTTCACGTGGTATATCAGCATGCTCATTGAGGCCGATCTCATGGGATATATCGCCTGAATTAAACAACAATAGAGCATAATCGTTCGCATTGTGGGTGCGGCATCATTCACCATATGCTTTCAGATCGTTTATCTCCCTCAAACTATGCACGAACGCAGCCTTCGCAACCTCGTACTGTTCCTTCGAACTATAGTTCTTGTTGTACCTGCGATATTGGAATAGAGGGGAACCTGCGTGGCTGTACGCCAACTAACGCTATCAATCTGACGGTGCATCTCACATTCTTATGAACTCCCGGAAGGCTTGCTCGATGTCATCAACTTCAGTCACCTGGCTCGAGCCTCGGACCACATCCTGAGCCACGATGACGAGAGATAGAATTCCGACGGTGAACCACATAGACGTATGTTGGGAACTGTCAGACAGATCCAACTCTGAACTCGACAGAAAGAAGGGGAAAGCCGAAAGCTTATCTTAACTCTTGTTCCTCGAAGACCCTGTGCATGTGTGCTCGCCCACGTGCCACGTGTACGCACGTGCAAGTGTGACGCCCGAACCTACCCCTTATCGAATCTCCTCCTGAGATTCTCCTTCGTCTCTCTCTTACATCGATACTCTTATCTTACTTCTACCTTGGGTTTGGGTTATATCAGCTTGGTATTATGGACGACGATAGTGAGATCATACACATGCGTATCGATCTGAGAATCGGTATCCCACACAGAAGCTATACGCCAATCTCGCCCGCGCAACGAGAACAGCAGACAGTCCTGCGGCACACAACGAAAGGGACGTCGCTATGACTAATAATGTGGCAACGAGTGTTAGAGGCATCCTCCTCTATCGTGCTATCCCTGATTGACGTATCGAACTCAGACATGATAAGGCTTATGAACTAGTCTCGGGAGAAGACGAGAGACTGGAGCCCTCGACCGGGGAGACGCCCCCCCCGCTCCCCTCGCCGCGTCACGTCACCATAACGTGCCGTCACAATCGCAGCACACGATGCACGAACGTTAGCTGTCCGCGCACGCCCACTGCACGTGCGCCAGCTACACGCCCCCTCCTCCTGACGAGGAATCGGATCGTCAAGCTGTGAAACAGCGGCGGGGGAAACACGTTTCAAATGATGTAAGTGAACAGGCCGGGGTCGCCGGCTACCAACAGTATGAACAGTGTAAACTTTTGGAGAGATGCAGAGTACAATCCGGCAAGGCTCAAAAAAGCGACGAGCCTTTCGCAGAAGACCGAAACGGCGAACCAGCCAAGCTTCGCCGACAGCTGGAAGACCACCAGAAGTTGGTGCGATAGGAGAAGGAGAGGACGGAGTCAACGCTGGTAGCGGACGAAAGACCGGATCCAGACCGGATTAAGGCCAGGCAGGGTAGGAGAAAATCAGAGCGTATTGGAGGAATCGGATCCGTTGCCGGCCATATAGGGAACGCAAGGGTAGACGATGGATCAAACTGGGGAGCAGTTTTACCTGTAGCCGTATAACGATAGGTTATATTAGCATTCATTGTGGTACTGTCGAGTTAAACGTGGAGGGGGGGATAGCAAGCAGGGTCGAGTGGAGAGCTTGTAGTATCATTATGCAGTAGTAGTGGTCATGGGGATCAACGATCTGTGATCGTAGCAACATGCGATTGGTGTGTGATTGGTTGGCAGCTCTCAGAGAGGCGGCTTCCTCTTGGGAGGTTTATGTGAAGCTAGTCTACATCAAGTACTGGGTCGTTATCAAACTTGATCTACTGCGAATCCAATTCGAGCGGAAGATTCTCTTGAGGCCATCTACTGAGCCTGTGGTGAAGGCTCTCCGATCCTGCGGGATGAGGCCGGCAGCCGATGACTCCGCCCTCTCTGGCGGCTATGTTGGAGCCGTGAGGAAAGTGAAGATTGAGGCTAGCCAGAGTGATGGGCATCCCGACAGTGTTGTGGTGAAGAGCATTCCGGAGACTTTCGGAGCCCGTATGTTCGCTGGTATGTTCGGCAGTGCTCAGCGCGAGGCCCGGTTCTACGTCGAGATAGCGTCCACTTTGCCGGTTCCCATCCCCAAGGTTTATCTGAGTAAATGGAGTAGGGCTAGAGGAAGCGAGTTGATTATTATGCAGAACATCGGCAATGGTTTGTTGGCTGAGGAGCTGAAGAAATGCAAAGATCCACACAAATTGGTGGAGGAATCATTTAAGGTCGCTGCCAGATTCCACGCTGAATACTGGGGAGCAACGCCGTCTACTCTCACACAGACTCTCTTAGGGCAGTACTCTTGGCTGAAGAACTGGGACTACGTACAGGGTCAGCATGAGGCTATGTTCACCTACTATAAAGGTAAAGTTGCGGGGATGTGGTCCAAGGTCAAGAAGGCTATCTCTACTGGCAAGGCCGGTGACCGCAATTACACTGCCAAGTGGGAGAAGCGCCTTGTGGTTTTTATCGACAACGCTATTGAGTACTCCACTTGGGAGGCTTATCAGAAGTCCTTGAGAGAGCACAAGCATCCTCTGACGCTAGTCCATGGTGACTATCATGCTGGTAATCAACTGTGGGATGCCGAGGCCAAAAAGCTCTACACTGTAGACTGGCCTGAAGCCTCAGTCGGGGAGGGCCCTGCTGACATAGCCCAATTCATAGTTTCTAACGTGAAGACGGATGATCGGCGGAAATGGGAAGAGGAACTCATCCATGTGTATTGGGATGAACTCGGCCGACATGGTGTTGACCATTCCTCCTATACTCTTGCTATGTGCCGAGAAGCTTATGTTCGTGGTGGTATTGATCGCTGGGTCCAACTGCTGATACTAATGGCCGTTTGCGGTGTAGATTATCCACATATTCTGCCGGACTCGTTCATGCAGTACTTCATCGACCAGGTGAACGACTTTATAGTGGACCACAAGGATGAGTATGAGGAACCGTATATACTAGCGACAACATACGATGCCCCGTGGTAGAGGTTGACACGAGTTGTGATTGTTCCCTAATCTCAGGGTGTAGTTGTGTCATAACGGAGATAAAGTCAATGGTGTGTTGATGATGATTAGGGTTAGGTGTGGTAGCTGTCGATCACTGATACAATCAGGACTTGTTCTCTACTACTAGTGTTGGAATATACACCCCTCCACATATTCTTAGCATATCCGGTTTTTCGACTCGTGCACAACCACCACAACGAGTATCATCTTGCGTCTCAGAGAGATATGTACTTATGCTTTACCTGATATGATCTCCAAGTTTCAGGGCCTAACCCTTCGTAGTTAGTGAGAAGTCGAAGATTGGTAAAAAGTTCTCTCCACACATTCTTAGCATACACGTGTTAAAATTGCGCCTCGCGATACCAACTTTTTTTGGAGGAGTATATCTATAACCCCGCTACTGATCTAATGTTATACATCAACAGAAAGAGGATCGTTCATAATGGTATCCCTCCATGTTTCGCTCTCATATTTGGGGGCATCCAGCCAAAACTGAGCAGGGCAGCTGATGAGCACCAAAACGCGCCGAAACAAGGTGTAAAATCTTGTTTCGACATCATCATAGATCAAGTTCATCAACGGATTCATGTAGTGGATGGTCATTGAGGACACCCTCAACATACCATGAACTTGCCTCGCTCCGCTCAAGTTCACCATCTCAAACATACAGTACATCACACCATTGTGGCGTTCCTCTATATACCGCACTAGGGTTGAATCGGTTCCCATCATAGTAATGTCCATCGGATTAACCGTATGTGCCAAGCCATATTCAACCTTGTCTTATACGCTCTACTCGAGCTGCTGCCCGGTGACATGCATGGCGAATGCAGCGCTTTATGAAAGCCTGACCATCGACCTTATTAGTCTCTAACGAACCTCTTTGTGATGATACTAGGCGCCTCATCGTACTCAAGCTCCCGGAAGCAGTAGTAGCCGTTATTGCAATCTATTAGATTGAATCTAAGGGCCTTGTGAGCTATAGTCAGCCTCCAAGCGTAATAAGTGGAATCATGGCTACGGCCTGTCTACTCCCATGCCTCCCTGATGTGTGAAGGCAAGTATACAGCAGACAACACATAAAAGCCCCTTGAAATGGTTTGATGAGCTACGGAACCCGCCCTATGGCGACCGATTGGACAACCAAGCGAATGATAGAAAAACTCATCGTCACAGGGTGGATCGTCAATGGATGACCCATCCCCTCTCGTGGCTGTATCTACTCCTTTCTCCAAGCTCAAGGCCCCCATCGCCACGTCTGTTGCATGTCGCATATGCTCAAGTGTAGACCTATAATGTATGACTCCCTTATCGACACCATTCATCCATGTCACTAAGCGAACGAGGACATCTATAGAGTGAAGACATGCCCCTTCCCAGTACAACGACCACAACGTATGGCAACTGACTCCGCGGTGTAAGGCCCAACTGGAGGTCAATCATATTGGCCTAATGCCCCCATAAGAGCTCTATCCCGTTATAAAGACTCCTTACAAGGGCCTCTGGGGTGCCCCTTCATCTGACCATCACTTGCAGCTACCTCGCAGTAGCCATACCGTTGGCGTCGTCAACTTGGTGACATTCCTTTGGAATATCGCATCTCCCTTCTATCGCTTGAGACTTCTTGATAACGGACCGTCTCTAATACGTCAACCTCCCCTCTGTCGACCTGTTGTAGTTACTTTGCATCGGACACGTGTGTGGTTTTGCTACCACAACAAACGCGTCAACTCGGGCAGACGTTCCCTCAGCAGATGCCTGTCTATCATACCTCCGGCCGAGTGATTCTAACTGCTGAATCCCTGCAGTCTCCCATGACTCTAATGCAAGCCGTGTATGTTAGAAAGTAATGGAGATTCCTGAGATTTTTGACACAAAAATTTTTTGTGTGCTCTCACTGGCTGGGAATTGAGGCTCAGAGGTCAGGAAACTGAAGATTCTATAAATTTGGCTAAGTAATGGTGGTTGCGCGGCCCGGCGGGTATTGACGGTATTGCAGGGAGAGTGAGTAAAGCTAAGAACTTCTTAGCTTTACTCGTTCTACTAGAACGAGTAGCTCCCGGAACTCTAGGTATAACCATGTAGAACAAGTAGTTCAATAGATCTTTTAAATACAGTAAAAACAATAGTTCAGTAGTAATTGTTTCAGAAATCTAGTCGTTTTGGATCTTGCGCTGTGGCGCACGCGAGCTGCCGGCTAGCGCATGGTGGCGAAAATTGTGAAACATTCAACTGTAATGCGACGGAGCGAAGCCCTGTCTACAGAGTGATCACTACACTCCTCCACATATTCTTAGCATATCCGGTTTTTCGTGCACAGTGTGAAACATGGAGGGATACCATTATGAACGATTCTCTTTCTCCAGATGTACAGCATTACATCAGTAACGGGGTTATAGATATACTTCCCTAGTAAAAGTTGGTATTTTGAGGCGCAATTTTAACACGTGTATGCTAAGAATGTGTGGAGAAAACTTTTTACCAATCTTCGACTTCTCACTAACTACGAAGGGTTAGGCCCTGAAACTTGGAGGTCATATCAGGTAAAGCATAAGTACATACCTCCCTGAGCCGCAAGATGATACTCGTTGTGGTGGCTGTCCACGAGTCGAAAAACCGGACGTGCTTAGAATATGTGGAGGGGTGTACACATTCTCTCAACGCATTGGGTTAGGGTGTATTATCTTGATCGGGCTTTGACAAACACTGTATTTGAAGGGCATTCTGTTGTCACTAGAGGATACTGCACTGATATTCCTTGTTTAGTTGAGACATAGTCTTCGATAATCCGACCTAGAGTGGGGTAGAGCTAAGGGGTTAGGTTTGGGATGACCTTCTTGGCGGGATATCGTCTATACTAGAATAAACACCGAATATACAGTGTGGTTCACTTGTCGTCGATGTGGGGGAGGAGTGGTATGAACTATATGTCGTTCTCAGCAGTATACCCTGATGGGTAATAGGTCAAGTAAATGTTGTACCTGCAACGAGGATGAGACCACAGCCGCTGACTCTGTAGACGCCAATCACGGCTTTACCGAGCACGACAGACGGGCTATCGCGGGAGGAGCCTCTCGAGCTGTTGACTACAGTATCGAGGAATGGGCGTCCGATGTGCATGTAGATGCTTCTGGGACTACCTGGTTTGATGCTGAAGAATCATTCTGTCGAGAACGTAATAAGATCTAGGCTGGACATTCATGTGGATGGTCTCTCGATCAGGGCATCCGGTCCGCTGCCCTCCTACTCACAGTCATGATCAGTATGATGGACGACGACATGGAGGGAAGCAAGCTTGGGCGGCTGAAGGAGTAGAGGTATTAAACGGCGTACAGTCGATCATGATTTATCAATTTTGACGCATGTGTATGTTGTGGTATATGTGAAATTCTCATCGTTAATATAAATAAGAGCAGATCCTAAATCTAGATAATATAAATGTACCGTAAACTTCTAATATCCTTTTTAAGATCAATTTTTGAAGGTATAGACATTCTCAGTGTCATTCGTTCGTTGAATCCTGAGTTATGGCATTTTTCATCAGTCGTACCTGTCAAGTGCGAACGCGCTGTACGATTGATGGCAATCATATGAGTGGGAATTACTGTGGATTTCCTCAGAAAAATCGGTCGTCGACGAACAGGAATTTCATGGCCCGGGCTGGCGTTGTAATACCGACTCAACTGAGATCGGGACTAAGTGCAGTGGTTCCCTTCCATCCAGGCCGGACGGGCTCTAAGGGTAGGGTAGAAACGGGAATGCTTTTTGCTAGCAGCATCCATCAGATTTGGGAGAGAAGTCGGAGAGTAAGCACGGCGGTTTCCCAGTGGTGGTTGGTGATGATGACCCGACGTATGGGTTTGGATGCCGGACTATACCTAGAATGGTCATAGGGGGGCGTGCTAGGATGAGAGTACAGCGTTGGAGGAATATTCATTCGCTTTCCTCAGCTGAGCTCCGGAGTTTCCTCGCGAATTGTAGTTCTACTGGAATTTCATCCTCGGAACTTTTACATTGTCACCAACACATGTAACTGACCATGTGCATATATCCCCACACACTTTGAGAGTAGGGGTGGGTACTTGCAGGTATATTGATACGGGAATAGAGTTCGTACGGGATCAGATAGTGTATTAGGTCACTCAGTCGACACAAATCTAATAACTATATCAATTACTAAATATAATAAACTATTAGTATACATTTATTGTATGAGGTTGTATTATATATATATTAATGTATTTATAGGTTATGATGAAACGTGAGTGTTGGGCATTTTGGGCGATTCTGAATTACTTGATTTTCGATAAGAATCGTCTAGCCATGGTCAACTTGCTCTTCGATTCGGTAAGGATGGTGTTTCAGACGCCCTTGGATGAAGATTCACCTGCTAACGCACAGCAGCACCCATCGTGGAGTGTCGGAGATGCTAGTCAGTTCAAAGTTCGGAGTGGTCCTGATTATATGAAAAACGGCCATAAAACCACAAGCGGTCCCCCTATGTGAGCACGGGGGGATGATACTGTATCGTGTACATGACTAGCCACAGTGCTGTATCCGGCAACTCCAGAATTTCTCGCCGACTTGTTAAGAACACAGTCGTTAACATCTGATCATTTTCTGAGGCTTAATTTCGGACGAGCTTGTTGAAAAATTAGGAATAATCTTCACATTCACACATGACATTTAGATTGGCTCATAGTTACTGTCGTGGTGGCGTAGGTATGATGGAGTTGGATGCGACATGTTCAGATCAGACGAGTGTAAAATTGATAACATACACGTACTATTCCCGGTTTGAAATATTTTCGAACTTGTGTGGTATCGTCAGGACGGAGTGCTCAGAGGACGATTGCCGGAACAGCGTAAGGATGAGTGGTCGAAGATCAAAAACCCGTGTTTGCCTCGGGTTGTTATCGTTAACGTTGAGGTATTTAATGGGTTATTTGGTCGAATGGTTTTGCTGTTGCACTCCTGACCTATCCATCCGGGTTCAATACCCTCCTGATTCGTTTTAGATGCCGTATCAGGCAGGACCGAAGCTCTTTGGCCAGCATCCCCACAGCGACCACGGCTTTTCAGTGGCTGCGTACTTCACCATTAGCCCTGAGAATGCTCTGAGGTAGTTGTCGCTCTCAGAGGTCGCAAGTTCGAACCTTGGTAAGGACATTTTTCTTCCCTCGCAGGTATATGGATCCCGAGACAGGTCAACTCACTGCCGACGCCCCACCACACTTGAAGCTGTTGACTGAGTTCTTCCGAATAGCTCATTTTCAAAAGTACCGCATGAACCCCTCTTCGTGAACTTTCCCATTGAAAACTCATTTTAGTGTCCCACAAGGCGCAGCTGCTAACGGCTCCTCCCATCTGTGCAAAGGTGAATCTGTTGAGGAAGACTGTGGAGGATGTTCATGCGTTCAGTGATCGGTATCTGCGAAAACCTCAAGGACTTACATTTGCCGTCTCTTATACGCCCGTCCTTGATCGAGAAGTACAATGGCAAACCTGTGTTGATCACCAAGAGTGGCAGTGTAGGCTGATGATCACATCGGTGTTCGGTTAGGCTTGAACACTTTGCGTCAGATGCGTGTGGATCCGTCAGGCCGGTTTGAATGGGTTGAGATCGACATTGATGTAGGTTTCGTTTCCTATGATTATCGTGGACAACTTTAGTCGTAGGTGCGGAATTTTGTCTGGCTGGCTAAGAGCGTCATGCACCATATGCACTCAGCGATACCACAACTGAAGATCCATGTTGGCTTTGTTATACAGGTTTGGCATTAGCTCTTATGCTTTGGTCATTATTCGCTCGACTTAGGCCGTGGATGACTCCCAAATGAATGAGAACATGCTTGGGTCGATGCGGTTGCGGCATCTTGATGTCACCAAGGCTACTCCAATAACCGTGTGTAAACACAATGGGGATGGCGAGAGCACTGCTGCAACTTAATCTGTAATGTATTTTATGTATTGTTCTTGTGGAGTACACGAGGATGCTTCTGATGATTGTTATGTCTTTCGTCATTCTCCTATTGAGGTTGTGTATATTCATATCAGGGGATAAGACAAAGGCTTAAGGTATGACGAAGATAAATTTCGAATAGCTTTACTCACTGCTTTGGCCGCTATGACGGCACACCATACTTTTATCCTTACCGCACCATTCTCATTGTTGATTGAACCATATACAGTCAGCGAGTACTCTACTACTCCTATCAATATTGTCCATTTGAGAAACATCTCTGTTGAGTGTAGTGGGGGCATAAGGGACGACTCGATAGGAGTCAGGTGAGTAACAATGAGACAGTATTAATAGGCAATTTGTATACCCTGGAGATGTTTTTAAGGAAGGAACTGCTGTCAACACAGATTCTATCAGGGCTGATGATTGGAAAGGGCGTGGCACGGCATGCGGTTTTCACTTGTATCGAGCTCCGACGTGCCCAGAGCGGTCGATAACAATAGTGTCGACATTCACTTCGACTGCTCCATTGCTTCCACCCCTCACGAATCGATCACCTGAACAATATTGGTATACCAATTTTGAGAAGACAAACGACTGCAGCGAAACGCCAACGTAGATATCACAATGACTCAGTGTGATGCATACGTGAACTCGATATGAGGGAGATGAAGAGCGGATGTCACATCGGAAGGGTGTCATACACATGACTGTGAATGTTGCACGCATACACAGTCATGTGTTGAATGGACACGTCAAAGAAAGATGATTGATAATCATTCACTGTGCTGAATGATGAGGGACAACTACTCTTGAATATACGAACCTTTGAGTGGTAGTTCTCTATGGGTTGAGATAATGCCTCCCTGTTGTTGTCCTCGAATATCATATGCAATCAAGGCTCGACAAAGGAGGGGATCGAATGTCCCACACCAGAGATCCTTCTCGGGTTGGGAGGAAGGCGGCTTCCACAATGGGACTTCAGCTTCGATACGCCCGGCTGTCTGTACAAGAGTAAAACCAACTTCCATCAGTGATGTTCACCTGCGGTAGCTCTAGAAAGCCGTAACCTTCGTGTTTCTGACGACCCCATACATCCTCTGAGATCGCCTCTAACAGAAGCTTTGGTGCTGAAGACTGACCAGTCGCTGCTGCCGACGAGCGATGATATGAAGTCTGTAATAGCTCGTTGAAGACGAAGACGCCCGTATTTCCCGTCTCGGTAGCCCCCTGGGAAGTTTGAGTAGGAGTAAGTGCCAAACAGCTCGGCTCCATCCCGGGAGGCAGATCGTCAGCGGAGGCGGCGTTCATCAAAGTCCAACTGCTGTCTTTTGGGAGGGCAACCTTGAAGGAGTTTCAGGACTACATGAACAACTAAGTGTGTATCGTTATGTTCCTTAACATCATGCATACTCAGATGTATCCACATAGGAAGTAGTCGTGACACGGAACGCTCGAGTAGCCAGAGCCACCAGGAGCTGTAATTCGAATTTCAACAAGCAAGAATGAAATAAGCTCAGCGACAAGAAAAGTACCATCTCACCTGGTAGATAACAAATAGCGTTTCTCCCATAACGCGCCGTAACAAACTACTTGATGACGGTATCAGCGGCCACCAATCACACTGCCGCCTTCTGAATGCAGCTATTTCCACAAGGTTCGTCACTCCGATGACCGAATCATCAGGCGGGAAGGCGACCCTCATCCCAGCACGTCGTCGTGATGATGACCGAGCCTGCACCTCTGATCGTGGTCCATCGATGTTGGCTGGACCCAGCATGTACTGCTACTCCATCTATTGACAACTCGAAAGAAATACAACACAGTTCTCAGTGGACACCAAAGGGTAATCACCATGTAAGCTGACATGAGCAGTAACGAACGCTAACGAAAACAGCGTTTAAACGCTCTCAATTTCATCATCAAAATTGTCGTGAGTACCCTCAGCCTGGGAATGCCCAACAGAAATCACTTCATCTGTAACCTCACACGACGAGGATAAGCTCGCTATAGACGACACCACGTTCACTGCCAGCTTGTTGGTTTCAATGACTTGTTGTGGTATCGGTCCTCGTATATCATATATAGGGGTACGATTCTGGATAAGGGGATGGACGTAGAGCTCAGGGGAAAAGCCAGCGGCAATCGCTGGATCGACCTGGCCTATTGCCGCCCTAGAAACCACACAATGTGCCAACTACCGGAGGAAGCAATTTCCCACCTGCTCTTGTCAGAGCCGTCAAGGCCAGCAGCAACACTCAACGATACGTACTCAGTACATCGTGTATACGTTGAGACGCAATTACGGTAGTAAAAGAACTGATAATCATTCTAATGCGGAAGAGTTGACCATAACACTCACCATGAAGACTGGCAGCACTGATACTGCCAGGAACTGCGCGTGGACTACCATATCATGAACGTCGAACTTGGCGATCAACACGCCGATGAGGACTATATGGCTCAGCGCCAACGACACGCAAATACACTGAAAAATGACAGTCAAAAAAGGCGGAGCGAAGTTCCTCTTTTTACCATAAAGTGATGCTTCCAGATCAACCCACCCGTCTCGTAGGCGTGAGTATGCATATGCGCAAACTGGTAGGTGAAGGCCACCCACGCGAAGAGGAAGAAGATCGCACCGGCAACTGAAATGGAGAGAATGCAACGGTAACTTATCGATGATCAGACTTGCCTAACACGAGAGGGGAGATGACCGCAAATGTGATGCAGATGTTGAGGACCTGACAAAAAGGTGATATTCGGAATAAGGGAAGCTCCTCGAACAGAGACGGAAATAGGAGTTGATTCACTTCAAAAAACACTAAAAATAAAAAGACTATTTCGCCACACTGTGTCGGTCAACTCTTTCAAGAAAACTATAAGTATAAAACCCCGTAGAGTTCAAGGAGCCGATTTTAATAACTGATTTTCAGTTCGATACGTTGACCGAGTCGACTTACGAAGAGGATATTGGGAACGTCTTCACTGTACAAAACATGTGCCAGATCCCATCGCGTTGGAGGGGTGAGCTTATTCTCGTATATAGGTGGTAGATCCATGCCTATGCATAAGGTCAACATATATGATGAACGACTATTTCATACCGCTTCCCGCTGCTGCTGCTGCTGCTGCGACTTCCTTCTTTTCCTCGTTATTCGGATGCAGATTTTCGATCGGCCGGCCGTCCTCTATCCAGTACTTGCGCTGTTGAGGTTCCATACGGAAATACCCAATAAGGAGATAGCACAGTTCATAAGGGTGGAACGTGGCCATTCTGATCATCACAGTTGAGATTATAAGGAGGACGTGTCGTACCCAACGTTAGTGACGATCTTGGCACAAACAACGGTGATGAAGTATACGGCCACATTTGGAATGTCCTGAGAGAGAAAACACGATGTTAGCTGCAGCTCAGCTGCACTCAGGAATCTACTACTACTACTACCAACAAAAAACGTTGACCTGAAGTAGTTGTAGTAACCGGGCACCGTGAATGGTTATACAAGCCCACTACAACTATACCTATACTACTACTACCTCGTAGTAGACACGACGGACAGAAAATTGCGAAAATTTCTTCGATTTTTCCATCATCACCACGTAGTGCGTATGAATATCTCCTCACCTTCCCAATCGCCTTCAGCAAACACACCGTAGTATCAGCCGCTGAGTACTTCTCCCATATATCTCCTATATTCAACCACAGCTCCCCCAGCACCTGCGAAACCCGGTCTAGGCCAAAACACTCAAAGGGACCACCGTACGATGACGTAAACTGTGAGCATTTGGAATACGAAAAATCGTCGAGCGACATGCATCGTGACTTCACTTCTCAGCTTGTAGCGTTCATAACTGACATATAATCTCAATAACGCCGCTCGACAACTACTCTTACTAGACTGCTGCGAATCGGAAGATTTGTGGTAGGACGAGTAGAAGTACCAACTGTAGGAACGTGGGAAGGTATCTGTTTTGATGGGTGATCACCAGCAACATGGCAATACATTATGAATACTTACAGATGCACCAGTTGAATCCACCAGTCTCGGCTGAACAAAGCTGGATCGTCGTTGGTTTCAGTGCCTAACCGAATCGTTATGCAAAGTAATATTTTCAACACCTTCGAAAGTCAACTTTGAGCAACATCAACATGATAACAATATGCATCGATTGACAACAACGTTTTAGAAGCGTTTCGTAGTCTATAGTCGTACTAATCTCGAATTGAAGAAAGCCATCTCGAAAACTCAAATACGCATAACTGTTCGGTCGCAACTTACTACTGAGCGTAAGCGTGGAAGCTAGTTCTTGAATGGCAGCGATAGGCACCGTATAGAAGAGCCCCCACACCAGCAGTAGCGCGAAGACTACTTTCCCCCTGGTTTCTGAGAGAATGAGCAATGACGAGGACAAGAGACTTCAGATGATAAACTTACGTGTGACGTGGCGTGAAACCGTCATGTTCTCCCAGATGAGATCGCTGGGCATAGGAGCTTCCCGAACGTGCCTGGAAAATTCTCAATTCCACAATCTCAACGGAAACAAGTCGATTTACCAGTAATTAGGTTCTTGAGATAAACTCAGTTGTGATACTGCAGATCTACAGCGCATGTCTACGAAAGTGACCAAAGCTGTACCTAAGGGCGGCCAGTAGTGAGCATGATGAAGGAACACGAATCGACTCACAGTCTTTTTCATCAATGATCGACGGTATGAGCCCTACTGCTCGATCAATAGCCTTTATTGCGCCTATAACAAAAAAAATTTGAAAAAAAAACGAAGTATAGAAACTCACTTTCCAGGGCGGCCGAATCGTGCCGGGCGAATCGATGCTGGGGCGAGTCCTTTTGCATAGCCGGAGAGTAACCGCTGCCCCGTCGTGTTAGCATGCCGGTCTCGTGGGCTAGTCTGAGCCGTTTTCGAGTTTTTTCAATTTTCTCTTCCATTTTCTCAATATCGTCGACATCTACCATCAAACACTACGTAACAGACCGAGCAGCTACTTCAACTCACTTCCCGAATCACACGATATTTCTGCGAGAAATTGCCGCCGAGTTCGTTGCGATAGCATCCTGTGTAGTGCAGCGGTCCCTCGACAAACATACCTAACAGGAGAATCGAAGTTAGTACGGGAAGATATGCACATAGTCAAGTGGATGTGTTGGTGACAATATGAAAATTTCGAGGAAATTTCGGAAATTTCTGGACTTCTATTCGAATTCACATATAAACTTCTATAATTAGTGAGAAAACTGCTAAGCTCAGCTGAGGAAAACGAGCGTATATTCCTCCAACGCTGATTGAAGTGAACCCTATACGTGGTACAAGTCTCAGCTGACTGTGAGGTGGTGGGATCCTTACGCGCTATGAACGCTGCCTTTTCCAAGGATCTTTTCGAAATACGCAATGATAGCTTTCCGAGATTGGAACTGAGGCGGTATGCTTTCTATCATCACACTGTGTCGTATCTGTGCTGAATGCTGATGCATTTGTTGAGGGCATCAACGTTTTACCTGGCGCGTGGAATCTTGAATCTGCCCGAGCCAAACCGTGCGCATGCGTGCATAATGCTCCCATTCATAGCGCATCAAGCCGCATATGAAAAAGGTCAAAATGTAACAGCTGATGACCTGACCACGACGAGGCTTCACGCGTGTCAGCGATTAATGGAACTCACGGAAACCCATGCATGTGTGACGTTGTTCTTGTTGATGTGGGAGGAGTTGATATAAGCAATGCCGTTGCCGATGGTCTCGCCTGATGATGGTTGCGAGTAGTACACTGGGACGAGGACCAACATAACGTATCTAAGGTTCAAGGTGGTAAGATTCAAAGTAGGTCCGAATTAGCCCACGCTGTGGCTGCGGTGCAAAATATAAGACTCATCTTGAGGAAGCGAAGCACCATGAAAGCGTCAAGGCCGATGATACTGAGAAGCCTCTCATCATCTCCTCGCTTGTCATCGCCTGCATTCTTGAGACTCCGAACGGCTACAGTAAAGTAGGGATAGTATTCCCAGTAGATCTTGCTGTGAGCTCACCATGAAGAATCGATTTGAAATAACCGTTAGGGTTATCAGGTTGCGGTGGAAGGTCTCGCATATCGAGATTAGAAGCGTCTACACCCCTACAGCGAGGGTGCTTCAATCGTTGCATGTAACTGAGGTAAGCCTCGGTCAAGACGAGCCCTGTGAGCTGCACTTACAGCTGATTGGTGATCTTTCGGCGGACCAGTACTTCAACGAGTATCCAGAAAAAAACAAGTCCGATGAGGGAAAATACGAACGTAATGACCACCTAAGTGTAAGCTTTCGATTCCCGAGGTGGTGTAGTTGTGCTACTTACTTGTCCAGTTTGGATGTTGTAGTAGATTCTCGTGTACTTCCTAGTGCTGGCTTTCTCACATTGTGCGGCTAGACTGAGGTCCAGACTGTTGGAAATGAAAAACGGTATTGTTTCCGGAGGGATGACATCTTCAGTGAGATTAGATGAGGTTGTCGCTGAGGGCTTGAGGATGCTCGAATTGGCGGCGAGTGATGATGCCTTGTAGATTCTGACCATTGGTTGTAACAATTAGGAGGGGCCTATCGAGAAAGGGGGGCATTCACGTAGTAGTGTTCCCCAGGTCTCAATCCATTGGAGCTTCCCCTTCCATAACGAGCAATACATGGACACCGTGTGCTCTTGGCATGAGGTCTTCTTACACCGTGATCGCAGTAGCGGCTAAAATAGTCGAATCTCAAGCGAGTTCGTCCAAGATCGTTCGATCTTGCGCACTTGCAGAATTTCCTCAATTTTAAGCTTATGCAGCGTTTCCAAAGCAAACTTCGTCAGCTGGCCATTCGCTGCGAAAATTTTTAAGGTTATGCATAGTTCGCTTTGTGACCTTGGAGGTGATTGGATTCTAATTTGATTTAGTGTTGTTTAAGAGCTTCAACACATGGGAATCCTTCGTAGTGAGCTCATGACTCACGGCACAGTCGTGCTACCGCACGAGTATGCTCGAAACTATGTTGACCTCTTGGGTAAGCAAACCAAGGTCATGTTCGAGGATATGAACTCGGCCGTTATGCAAAGGTGAGCTGCAAAGAAGACCCTGGTGTGCTCCTAGATGTGTCTTGTTGTTTGTTAGACCTTATCGTAAGTACATCCAACGTATTGAGGACATGGAACGTATGCTCCGTGTGCTCGACTCTGAGATCGCCAAGATGCCTGATGTCACTCTTTACAAGAACCGTATCGACGACTTCCTGGACCACGATGATGAGTTCACCCTTGACACCCTAGAGGCTGAGATCAAGAGAGTTTACGAACAGTTCATTCGCTTCCGTGGTAACAACGAGGACTTGACTGCTGAGCTGGACTCTGCCACTGAGGAGTTGAACGTCGTACAGAACAGTCTCAGCTCTGGTTCTGTTGCTGCTGGCACTGGTGCGGCTCTCGAGGCTCCTCTATTGCAGGGTGAGCCCACTGCTCGTGGTACTGGTAGAGAGCGTATGGGCATGCAGTTCTCTAACATTGCTGGCGTTGTGAAGATGGAGGATCAGGAGAGCTTTGCCAGAACGGTGTTCCGTGCTACTCGTGGTAACACCTTCACTCAGTTCACTGAGATTCCCGATACTCGCAAGAGTGTATTCGTCATCTACTTCCAAGGCGCTGCCGCTAACAGTTACATGTCCGCTAAGCTCCATCGTATCTGTGGTGCTGTTGGTGTTCACCTTTATCAATGGCCTGCCACTCATGACGAGGCTAGGGTCAGAATCAACGAGCTGCAGAGCATCATCGCTGACAAGACCCATGCTTTGGCTGGCTTCGACAGATTCATTCGTGATGAAGCCAGAGGCCTTGTCGAGCCCATTCGTGTTGGTGGCAACTCTCGGATTGAGGAATGGAAGTTGTTCTGCATTAAGGAGAGGAACATCTATGCTACTCTTAACCTTTTTGAGGGTGATGTTACTCTGAGATGTGATTGCTGGTATCCTTCTAAGGAGGAGGATTCTATTCGTCGTGTACTCGGCGAGTCTGAATTGGCTGCCTCTGCTATGCTGGTGGCTGATATCGCCAAGCCTAGGGCGGCTCCTCCCACCTATACGAAGACTAACGAGTTCACTGCTGCCTTCCAGGCTTTGGTCGATACCTATGGTATCCCTCGTTATCAGGAGTTCAACGCTGGTGTTGTGAGTATCATCACATTCCCCTTCATGTTTGGCATTATGTACGGTGATGTTGGTCATGGTACTTTGATCACATGCTTTGCTCTCTGGGCTTTGTCCAATGCTAAGAAGTGGAAGTACAGTGATGATGGTATGCAGCAAGGTTTGGTCTATGCTCGCTACTTGCTCTTGTTCATGGGCCTCTTTGCCATCTATGCTGGTTGCATGTATAACGATCTCCTCGGTGTTGGTATTCACTGGTTCGGTACTGCTCGTTATGAGGATCCCGCTGAATACGGTCATGCTAGTAACTACGAAATGAAGCCCAAGGCTTGGTTCGACACTCTTAACACTGGCGAGGGTAGCGGTCCTTATCCCTTTGGTATTGATCCCTCGTGGCACGGTGCGACCAACGAGCTTCTGTTCATGAACTCCTTGAAGATGAAGTTGTCTGTGTTGTTCGGTGTCTTCCAGATGATATTTGGTGTTTGCATCAAGTTCGGTAACGATGCTTACATGAGGGAGTGGATTGACTTCATCTTCGTTGCCATTCCCCAGATGGTCTTCCTGTTGGGCTTCTTTGGTTACATGGACTGGATGATCATGTATAAGTGGGTTACTCCTGTTACTCAGGACCCTACCCTTAACGGTGCCCCCTCCCTGATTAACACCTTGATCTCGTTCGGTCTCGGCCAAGCTGATAAGCAACCTCTGTTCCTCGCCCAGCCTGCCGTTCAAAAGTGGCTCATGCTTGCTGTGGTGATATCGGTCCCTGTTATGCTCTTACCTAAGCCGATTATTATTCAAATCCAGAGGTCTATCAGAAATAAGAAGAACAACCGTAACGCTGTTGCCAATGACGATGTAGAAGCGCAAGCCCTCATCACGAAGGAGAGTGAGACTGACGAGGAGCTTGAGGAAGAGGGTATGGATGAGGTCTGGATCTACCAGATGATCGAGACCATCGAATACGTGCTTGGTTGCGTATCCCATACTGCGTCATATTTGCGTCTTTGGGCTTTGTCCTTGGCGCATCAGCAGCTTTCTGTGGTGTTCTTCCAGATGATTATGCAGGGCGCTCTCCAGTCCACTAGCTGGGCCAGCCCTATCTTCATCTACTGCGCTTTCGCCGTCCTCTTTGGTATCACCTTGGGTGTCCTTATGTTCATGGATGTCTTGGAGTGTTTCCTCCATACCTGGCGTCTGCATTGGGTGGAGTTCCAATCCAAGTTCTACATGGGTGATGGATACTCCTTCGTGCCGTTCTGCCACTTCGACATTATCAAGGATGAGCTTCAGGCTTAAGAAACAGTAGATGCTGATGACGTGTTTACTACTACTACTTGAAGGAAGCGATAGACGATTCTTCTCGTGTTTATTCAACTCCTCCTTTTTCATACATTCGATTCGCCATTTATTGCATCCACATCGTGGCGTCCCAAGATTGTACTAAGTCTCTTATGAGTGTGAGGATGTCTTTGGGTTGGTATATCAATTAAAATTTGTATGTGATGTTGTCGTTCACGATCATTGCGAATTTGAAAGTTGCTTCGGCCAAGTTGTGTAGTTGTGATCATTGACCCCAGCTTTTACGTTTTGAATGTATTTTATCGACTTCTGATTTTCTAGCAATATTATAGCTGATATATTTGCGATATGCTTCTGGTGAGACTTTCATCGCGAAGTGGCGAACTTACCATGTGCCGAGTGTTAAGCGAACTTTGCTCCTAGAGGGCTGTTATAAAAGGTATGGACATTACCCGGCATAGAAGGGAAACACTGTACTCAGTACTGCACGGGAATTTCATCTTTTTCAAGAATATTCGTCCATTTAGCTTTGGATTGGTCTCCTCGCCGTTTTCAAACTCTTGGTGTCCTTTGTGGTTTCCGTGGTTCTTTGTGGCCACTCTCTTTTCCGTGTTGAGAAACAGTTTGTAGTCACGCTCGGCATTACCCAAATGGCAATATATGGCGTCGCTCGCTTCGAAATTATGATGTCAACTTTATCGTTGTTCAATTTCGGTTGTATCACGTGGTTGTTCACGGCTCTTTCCCTCATTTGTCTTAGAGATTCTCCACAGATTGATTCGAATCAGCTATTTAGTAATCGCCGTTACTGACAGGCTATAGCTTCATCTCAGCTCTCAGAGTATCTTGTAGCTTAGCAGAGACAGCGTGATCTGAGTTGTGTCGCTGTAGGTCTCAGCTTGGGTACTTGCTTATGCTCAGCTCAGTTCATTCACTTCATTACTCGTTGATGGATATACGTGTCTTGAGTAGTTTTTATAGGTTTATGTGATGATGAGGATTGTTTGAGTATATCCGCTTTCGCTGTTTTGGATTAGGTTTGAGAATGTGTGACGTGTTAGTAAGTGTTGGGAATATTGTGTTCTTCATCAGTTTGTGCTTATTTGTAACCAACATGGGAGTTTTGAGAAGTGAGTTTATGTCTCACGGCACTCTTGTGCTACCTCACGAGTGGGCGAGAGATTATGTAGATTTACTCGGTCATAAGACTCAAATTATGTTTGAGGATATGAACTCTTCTGTTATGCAGAGGTAGGCAGTTTAACTGGTATTTTCATCGGTTTATCACCTTGTGTTTTTCAGGCCTTATCGCCGCTATATTCAGCGCATTGAGGAGATGGAGCGTATGGTTCGTTTCCTGAGCAAGGAGGTTGAGAACATGCCCAATGTCGAGGTCAGCAAGAACCGTATCGATGACTTCTTGGACCACGACGATGAGTTCACCCTTGATTCGCTTGAGGCCGAGGTCAAGAGAGTCTATGAGAGGTTCTGCCGTTTCCACAGTAACAATGAGGAGATGACCGATGAGCTTGAGGCCGCTGTTGAAGAGCTCAATGTTGTTAAGGACAGCATTTCAACTGGGTTCCTCGCTGCAGGAGAGGGCCTGAGTCAACCTCTCCTTGAGGGCGAGCCCACTGGCCAAGGTTCTCGCCGTAGAGAAGATCACATGCAGTTCTCTAACATTGCTGGTGTTGTGAAGATGGAGGATCAGGAGAGCTTTGCCAGAACGGTGTTCCGTGCTACTCGTGGTAACACCTTCACTCAGTTCGTGGAGATCCCTGATACTCGCAAGAGCGTCTTCGTCATCTACTTCCAGAGCACTACTGCGGCTTCGGCTATGTCGGCTAAGGTTCACCGTATTTGCAGTGCTGTTGGTGTCCACATCTATCAGTGGCCTTCATGTAAGGATGAGGCTATGCAGAGGATCGCTGATCTCGAGACTGTCATTGCTGATAAGCGTCGTGCTCTCGCTGGTTTCTCCAAGTACACCCTTGACGAGGCACGCAGTCTGTTGGAGCCTATCCGTATGGGAGGCAACTCTCGTATTGAGGAGTGGAGGCTATTCTGCATCGAGGAAAGGAGTATCTATGCTACTCTCAACCTGTTTGAGGGGTCTGTCTCGATGAGATGTGATTGCTGGTATCCGACCAAGGATAAGGATTCTATTCGTGAAGTGCTTGCAAGCTCCGGTTTGGCTGCTTCGGCTATGCTTATTGATGATGAACATGATCCTAAGACGGCAGCTCCTACCTATACGAGAAAGAACGAGTTCACTGCTGCTTTCCAATCTCTTATTGATACCTACGGTACTCCTCGTTATCAGGAGTTCAACGCTGGTGTTGTGAGTATCATCACTTTCCCCTTCATGTTCGGTTTAATGTATGGTGATGTTGGTCATGGTACTTTGCTCACCTGCTTTGCTCTCTGGGCTGTGAAGAATGCTAAGAAGTGGAAGTACAGTGATGATGAGATGGTCCAGGGCTTGGTGTACTCACGATACCTCATTCTCTTCATGGGCCTCTTTGCCATCTATGCTGGTTGCTTGTATAACGATCTCCTCGGTGTTGGTATTCACTGGTTCGGTACTTCCCGTTACGAGGATCCCGCTGAATACGGTCATGCTTCGTTGTTTGAAATGAAGCCCAAGGCTTGGTTCGACACCCTCAACACTGGCGAGGGTAGCGGTCCTTATCCCTTTGGTATTGATCCCGCATGGCATAACTCCACCAACGAGCTTCTGTTCATGAACTCCCTGAAGATGAAGTTATCTGTGTTGTTCGGTGTCATCCAAATGATATTTGGTGTTTGCATCAAGTTCAGCAACGATACGTACTACCGTGATGCTCTGGACTGGATCACCGTGTGCATCCCCCAGATGGCCTTCATGATCTGCTTCTTTGGTTACATGGACTGGATGATCATGTATAAGTGGGTTACCCCTGTTACTCAGGACCCTACCCTCAACGGTGCCCCCTCTCTGATTAACACCTTGATCTCGTTCGGTCTCGGCCAAGCTGATAAGCAGCCCTTGTACGCCGGTCAGTTCACCATCCAGAAATGGTTCATGATAATCATTCTCCTTTCATTGCCTCTGATGCTGCTACCCAAGCCGATCATCATCTCCATTGAGAGATCGTACAAGGCTAAGAAGGCCGCCCGTCAGGCCGCTATTGCTCAGCAAGATGTCGAGGCTCAGTCTCTCCTCCCTAAGGATGATAAGGAGGCTGAGGAGCCTACGGAGCCTGGTATGGATGAGGTCTGGATCTACCAGATGATCGAGACCATCGAATACGTTCTTGGTTGCGTATCCCATACTGCGTCATACCTCCGTATTTGGGCTCTTTCCTTGGCACATCAGCAGCTTTCCGTGGTGTTCTTCCAGATGATCATGCAGGGTTCTCTCGAGTCCACTGGTGCCCTCAGCCCTATCTTCATCTACTGCGCTTTCGCCGTTCTTTTTGGTATCACCTTGGGTGTCCTTATGTTCATGGATGTCTTGGAGTGTACTCTTCATACCTTGCGTCTGCATTGGGTGGAGTTCATGTCCAAGTTCTACATGGGTGATGGTTATCCCTTCGTGCCTTATCGCCACTTTGACATCATCAAGGACGAGCTTCAGGGTTAGACTTGTTGTAGCTAGCCATTCGTAGTATTTTCAGTTCTGCAGACTGCCTTCCGTCCTTTTTTCTCACTCAATTCCTCTTGAGACTCTGATTCAAGCCGGCAGCCTCCGGACTGTTTCTATATCGACAATATGAGCTATACTGAGTTCAGTTCATATCAATTACTGCTGAATTTGGGGATGTTCGCTATGGAGTGGTATTGAGCCACTGTTAGTGATAGGTTATTGGCGTTCGGAAATGGGTATCCTGCGTAGCGAGACCATGACCCATGGTACTCTCGTGGTCCCAGCGCAGTGGGCTAGGCATTATGTCAATATACTTGGTCACGAGACCAGTATGATGTTTCAGGACATGAACGACAACACTATGAACAGGTTTGTTCATTCGCTTGTTAGTTTGTTCATGCTGATTGTTTCGCTTAGACCGTATCGTAAGTACATTCAACGCATTGAGGAGATGGAGAGGATGTTGAGGGTCTTTTCCAAGGAGCTCGAGGACGTGAACTACATGCCACTTTACAAGAACCGTGTTGATGATTTCTTGCAGCATGACAATGAGCTGTCATTGGATCCCTTAGAAGCTGAACTGAAGGGAATCTATGATCGTTTTATCCGCTTTCAATCTAACAACGAAGTCCTCACTGCTGAGCTCAACGCTGCTGTTGAGGAACTCCATGTTGTTTGGGCCGGCATCGCTGAGGGTATGCTAGGTGGTGGTGGCGGCGGCCTCGATGCTCCTCTGTTGGACGGTGAGGCTGGTGGACCGAGCTATGCGAAGATGAATGGTATGCAGTTCTCTAACATCGCTGGTGTTATCGATCTCAAACAGCAGGAGACCTTCGCACGTACCGTCTTTCGTGCAACTCGTGGTACAGCTTTCACACACTTCACTGAGATCACCGAGGAAGAGGCGCACACGCAGCTTGAACCAAAGAGTGTTTTCGTCATCTACTTTCAAGGGGATGCAGCCACCAGTGCTATGGCGGCTAAATTGACGCGTATCTGTAAAGCGATAGGCGTGAGGTTGTATGCTTGGCCAGCGTCGACAGCTGAGGGTAGCGCACGTTCTCGTGCCCTCGAGTCAATTATCTCGGACAAGAAAGCTGCCTTGCGTGGTTTCGAGAGAATCATGCGTGATGAAACAAGGATGCTCCTAGAGCCCATTCGTATGGGCGGCAACTCTCGCATTGAAGAGTGGAAGCTGTTCTGTATCAAGGAAAAGAGTATTTATGCAACGCTGAATCTCTTTGAAGGGAGCACGACTCTGAGGGCTGACTGTTGGTATGCTGCTGAGGACGAAGACGCCATTCGCCACGTGCTGGCCCATGCCTCTTTCGGTGGATCTGCTCGTGCTTCTGCCACACTCGTCACGGATGCTACTTGTACGGGCAAGACGCCCCCTACTTACATCAAGAGGAATGCCTTCACTGACGCCTTCCAGGAGTTGGTTGAGACGTACGGGGTCCCGCACTACAAAGAGTTCAACCCGGGTGTCTTCACTATTGTCACTTTCCCCTTCATGTTTGGCGTCATGTACGGCGATGTGGCCCACGGTGCGATGTTGTTATGTGTAGCCATATATGCCTTGCTGAATGCTGACAAGTGGAAATATAGTGACAATGCTGTGCATCAGGGGTTGTCTTATGCTCGGTATCTACTCTTTGCTATGGGGTTCTTTGCCATATACGCTGGTTTCATGTACAACGACTTTTTGTCAGTCGGCATTGGTATTTTCGGGGACTCTCGTTATGAGGACCCTCAGCATCTTGGAAAAGGTAGCAGCTATGAGATGAAGCCCAAGCCATGGTTCGACAGTTCTAATAGTGGCGACGGTCACGGCCCTTATCCGTTCGGAATCGATCCCTCCTGGCACGGTGCTAATAACGAGCTGCTCTTCATGAACTCACTAAAGATGAAATTGTCGGTCCTGTTCGGTGTTGCCCAAATGCTACTCGGGGTTTGTCTTAAATTCAGTAACTCTATTCATGGTCGCCAGTGGACAGACTTTGTCTTCGAGTGTATCCCCCAGCTGGCGTTCATGATATGTTTTTTCGGTTACATGGACTGGATGATAATGTATAAATGGGTTACACCAGTGACGCAAGACCCCAACCTCAACGGTGCACCATCACTTATCAACACGCTCATAGGTATGGGTCTGAGCCAGCCCAACAGGCAACCCCTGTATGAAGGACAGTCGGACATTCAGAAGACTCTCATGATTATCACTGCTTGTGCAGTTCCCTTGATGCTCATTCCTAAGCCGGTGATCATCTTCATCAAAAGGAGGCTCTCGAGTAGAGCTAGTTCTTCCTCGGGAATGAATGGTGATCTAGAACAGCCTCTGCTTGGGGAACACAAGGGTCATGAAGATGAACATGATGAGGAACCTTTTGGCGAGGTGTGCATTCACCAGATCATCGAGACCATAGAGTATGTGCTGGGAACTATATCTCATACAGCATCATATCTCCGTCAATGGGCACTGTCGTTGGCTCATCAACAGCTGTCGCTGGTTTTCTTCCAGAAGACTCTTCAACCTATGTTGGAAACCACGGGTAGCCTTCAAGCGGTTTGGATCTATCTGGGCTTCGCTGTGCTCTTTGGTATCACCGTTGGAGTTTTGCTGTTCATGGATGTCCTGGAGTGCTTCCTTCATACGTTACGTTTGCATTGGGTGGAATTTCAATCCAAGTTTTACAAGGCTGATGGTTACTCGTTCGTACCGTTTCGCCATCACCAGGTGCTCGTGGCTGAGCTAAACAGCTGATGATCACATGCAGATGATGTGATCCTATTTTTTGAAAAGTGCTCGTAGAGGAGAGATCGCATGGAAGAAATAGCTGAGTTTTCAGTAGTTATCTTGATGTTCGATCGTTGCGTTGTTTGAGGGCAGTTCGGTGTGTCATCGGTTACTCGTGTACTAATTGACGCAGCTGGTTACCTAGTCGAGAGTCCAGCCGTTTATTCATGGGGGACACCCTCATTTGAGAAGACTATCGATCTTTGTCATCCACCCTATTCTTGGCTGAACTTGAGCGAGCATATCAGCGTCGTTGTATTGATTGGCGGTTCAGCAATTTACAATCCTTAGCAAATTTCAGTTGCTTGCTATAATGTTATCTCAAATTACTTCTGCATGTTGTATGAGAGTTGCATGAGTATTGGATACTTCCGCGTTGATTATCAAGTTGAATTATCTCATTTTTCGCATCAGATAATCACAACTTTCAATGCGACTGATTCAATTTCAATTTAAGTCAATGTAACGATTTCAAGTTGCTCAGTCTCGTCATCAAGTAGTCTCCATGCCCCGCCAATGACGGTAGACAGAAAAGATTAAGCCAAATGATATTCTTTCATCATAGCAACATCTAAACATTGTGAATATTCGAAGGAATATCGTGTTCCAATAAGCCGAATAGCGGAACGTCGAGTACCCTCAACGCTGGACGGCTGTATTGAGAGAGTCTTGCACACATACAGTGCATCTCAGGAGGGACAGCCAGTCTGCATAAAGTCGTCCACGTTACACTGGAAGTTGTAATCACTTCAATTGATGCCAGCCATAGCGCGATCGATAAGAAGCCCTGCGCTCGCCCATCGATCGCGTGATCGATTTCTCACAAGCTCGTGTGTGGACTTCGTCAAACCACTCATAAATTGGTTTAGTGTATGATGATTGATTCCATATTCATGCGTGTCATCTGATTATGATGATGATAAACCACCCTAGGTGTTCGTACTGTCTGATACTCATAATCTGCTCCCTTTGATGACTATACCTTCTTACACAGACCTGTTCTGAAAAGAACTCGTGTAGAAAAAGGAACCATGCACCACACTGAGGGAAAATGCTACGATCGAGAGTGATGATACAGCTTGACTTCCCTCCGATAAATAGTGAGGACAACCTCTTCTATCTACTTTTGTCCTACGTCTGACTCGTCTTCAATCGTGTGAGGCTCTCTAGAGTTGCTACCGGTACCATTCAATGTTCTAGGTAGTGCTAAGAGTTGCCGATACGAAGGTATTCAGGAGGCTGAAGTGATTGCTATCTATAGCTCTCGCTGCGCTGATTGTTACATCTTATTCTGAGTATCTCCGATGATGGAGTAGTTTTTGAGATTGAGGTTGCTGTGTCTTCGCCTCGGCGTTGGCTGTTTCAGCGATTCGATGACCCACTGGATTATGAGAGCTGAGGTGAAATGACTGATGAGCTTTGATGATAGACTCTCTCCTTGGTCAATGTAATTGACCAGTGAGGACAAGATATTCCGACACTTTAACTGATGCTCACCAATGTTGGAGAAGTGTGATTTTCAAGCTGCTGAGCTCTCCAGTGGGCTACTGCGGTCGGGTAATCTACACATAATGATGTCTTATCGTGCTATGCCGTTGCTTCTATGACTTGGGCTATCACTGCGATCAAGGGACATTTCTATGCAACTCATATCGGTATCGAGATTCTCTCTGGGAATAAATTTCATGAACAGATCTATACCTCTTTCCTGACTATGGTGAAATCTCAGACGCAAATATCATCATCGTAGCCAATTTTATTTCTCGTGTGGCCGCATTACCGTTGTGTGAAGTGGTGGTATATTCAGTTCGCGTCGGCGATGAGGCGGTCAATCTGTATCATCACATCTGTTAACCTGCCATGCCTCATCTCAACAGGGACTTGCGGACCGCATTCATGATTGGCTAAACTCATTTTCATCGTTGGGGATGCCTATTCTGAGTCCCCTTATTGCCGGGGAACTACAACCGGTAATTGGCGATTAGTGGATGGCCGAAGCCCCAAGCCTAATGTGATTCTTGCAAAGCGTTGGTCTTATATTTCAGAAAGTCGTAGCTCCGTGCTGGTCATTTTCAATTGATTTTCATTCTTATCAATCCCAACCTCCAAGTTCCTCATGGGCAGCGTTTCGAGATTTCAAAAGCCACCAATGCACTCACCCGAACTTCCATTGTATGTGATTTGAGACGTACGCCTAGTTGAATTCATTGGCCAATCAACTAATAAAGATTCCCCGTCTCGCCCGCCCTAGTGGTCCGCACAACTAAGCCGATTCACGCGTCACAACTTACAACGCGTGAACTGTCGCTCAGTTGCTACCCGAATTGACGTTGGTGTCTGGAATGTCGGCATTACAATCTGGAGGTAGTCGACATGACGCATTCTATCTGCTAATTGCAGGTTTTTCGTGTTGGTGTATGCTCCCTATCAACTCGATTCCCGATGATGGTATCTCAGTCAAGCCCTCCGGTCTTGGGTGGTTTGCCGGGGCTTGTACTCTCACTATGACTGCGATTGGCGTAGGAATTCTGACGCTTCCAGGCACAGCCACTAGCTCTGGCTGGCTTGGCAGCGTAATAGGCCTCACACTCGCGACAACAATCGTATTCCACAACAACCTCCTCCTTTGGCGAACTCTACGCCTCGCCGTACGTGATGGTAACGAAACGGCCAAATGCTATGAGGAGGCTGGCGGAATCACCTTTGGCACCGGTGCCGCGATCTACTTCGGGTTCGTGCTGCATGTAACCCTCGTTGCCGTGTGCTCCGTGATGTTTCTCCTATTGGCCTCGACATGTGAAGCAATGGCTCGCGTCTTCGATAGACGTGTCTGGATAGCTCTCTGGGTCCTGGTGGGCATACCCCTTTCGTGGATAAGAGAGGTTAAGGACGTTGGTATCATCGCGGCTGCTGGTGTCCTGTCGGCCACAGCCATGGTAGTTGTCATAATCGCTGCATCAGCCAACAAGCTCGTCGTAGATGGTACCGCGCATGACCTCGAAGTCGGGCCTCGTGGTGTTGTCGATTATCTATCGGTTTTTGCCACATACTTCTTCGCCTACGGTATCAGTGCAACGACTCCAACCGTCTGCTACAACATGAGCAAACCCAATGACTTCCCGAAATCTTTAGTCGCTGCGTTGGGTTTCTCCACTCTAGTTTACCTGGTCGTGATGGAGCTCGGCTATGCAGCCTACGGCCAGGCCCTATCAAAGGCGGATACCATCGTAGGCGCAATATCTCCGTCAGGGCAGCCTTTGAACGTCTTCGGGTGGCTCATCAATCTTGTCGTGCTTTTGGTGGTATTGTCGCATTTCCTCGTTCTTTTCACACCGACGGCAAAGCAGGTAGACGCTGTCTGTTCTACCGTTGGTGAAAGGAGGCGATGGTCCACCTTCAACTATAGGATTGGCTGTTCAGTTGGTCGGACATGTCTCGTCATCTTTGAAGGATTTATTGCAATAGTTGTTCCCAAGGTCGATATTTTAGTCGGTCTGATCGGTGCTTTCTGTGTGACTCAGTTGTCTGTATTCTTCCCCATCGCGTGCTACATCAAAATCCAGATGAACCTTGGTTCGTCCATTCCCAAATGGAAGTCATTTTTCTTCGTATTGCTCATGGTGGTCGGACTTGTTGTGATGGGGATGGGTGTTTACGGCGCCATTCTGAACTTCTAAGATTCTGGTCGCACCTTGTATTCAGGCGAACTTGAACTTTCTGATGTCAATTTGTCAAGTCCAATTTTCCCGAGGCAGCATCCTGTGTCGGACTATTCGTAGTCAAGTCCTGGATGAGCTTCTCCTAGATTCGCCCTCAGCCGACACGAGATTCTCTAATCTGGCGTTTTCTGGCGGAGAATCGGAGGGCTGAGTGCGCCTCACCACTTGGAGCCGCGTAAAACATTGATCCAAAGTGGTTTTTTACTCTATTCACGTCAAAATATTGTCACGTTTTTTCTTTCTTGCATTGGCTTATGAGTCTGAACAATCGGTTCTGTCACGATAGGTGATTTGATTTTCTCCACGTGGCGGCACATTTATGTTGAAACAGTTTAAATCGAACTGGGATGTTGGCATCACATAAGTATCACGTCTCTTCCACCCTCAGATCATGGGTAGCGCAAATAAAGGTAAGAACTATACCGTCAAACTTGCCCGTATATTGTCATTTCAGGAGATAATACCGTCATTTTAATAAGTGATCTATTTGATCAGGTCGAACTTGAAAGTAACACAAGTCCCGGACTTGAAGTCCGCATTATCTGAATGCATTGAATTCGTGTCAACCTTGCATATTCGAGGAAAACTCGTATTAAACTTGTGTGTATCATTGTCGTTCTTGCCTGTTCATTCGTCAAACTCGAAGAGCAACGACGGAGTTGAATATGCATCATATTGCGAGTTAAGCTAGAAAGAACTACCGGGCTCGATGAATACCAGTAGTCCGCAAGGGAGCATTGATACGGCCTCAAACTAAACATTTTTGAGAACTGATGGTGCTCCAACTCAGTTGATGGAAGTATGATTGTTGTGACTTGTGCTCATCGGAGATGCCTCAGGACAGCCACGGATATTTCACTAGTTGATCTTCTATCCGAACTCATTATCTGAAGAAACATGACAATCACCATGTTTCTTCAGCTCGACGAGGCTTCAGAGCTGAAGACCTAACACGTCGGACACTTGAACGACGCGCGAAAAGGAGTTAGTAACACAATCACACGCTAGTGTCGGGTCTACATGTGTAATACTCCTGAACAAGTCGGTTCTGAAAAGTCTGAACGCAACCTGAAAATCATAAGATAGAACTTATGTCATGAATAATAGTCATGGAAGGAGAATCTTCCAACAGTGGGCGACTAAACTGAGAACTTGGATCCCAGATTCCACGCATTCCCACCCCTTTGCGCATAGCCGAAGTGGCTGTCGTGCGAACTCGATCAGCGTGGAACTCCTTGTTCCCTTGTTAGCAACAGAACTTCTACTAAATAAACACATACAAGCGTGCTAAGGTTCAGTCATAGGTGTTCCATGTGTGCTGGACTGCATAGGTGTTGGACTTTAAACTCACACACACACACAGGTGTTCCATGTATCCGGTTTATAACGCGATGCAAGCCGAGTTTAGAATCCACAGCTCATGAACACCATGAGTTCAGTCGCCATGGCTGCTATCGCTGCTGCTACTACTACTTTCATTGTCATCATCCTCCATTGGCAATGCAAACCAGCGTGCCTGAAAATGTTGGAGTCCCCGAGAGCACGAATAGAAGGCACCCTACGAAGTTGTAGAACTCCACCTTGCCCAGTTTGCGCTTATCGAGTTCAGCACACGCCTTCTCTATCTTCTTTGCTGTGACCTTCTCCCCGAGATCCGCTAGGAGATTCTTCAACTGACTAACTCTGATCCTCCCAGATCCTTCCACGTCATGCCTGTCGAATTTCTGAGCGGCAAAACCAGAGCACAGCAGCTTCCACACGAAAGCCCTCACCTGCCTCAGGCGATATAAATCATGCAAACTAATCCTTATCGCATGCAGTTTGTCAGCGAGCTGAGCTCGATCCAACTTATACCTATTTCGCAACGGCATCACTCCAAATACTGGACATCCAATGCTGCCCACTTCGACTTAAAGATCTTCTCAATGTTCTTGGGGGTGATTCCTTCACCTAAGGAATGCATAACTCTCACGTGACTCTGTAAGCGATCAGCAGCTCACGTTCCTTCTTGGTGAAGAAAGGTCGGAGCTTTTTCGCCGGTGCGCCCTGATTTAGTGAGGACAGAATTCACGACTCAAATAGTGCATCGGCAAACCTTTGATGACAATGAATATAAAACTCACCTCTTCCAGCGAATTCATATCAGTAGATGCAATTGGAGCAACGAATTCATCGTAGCTGAAATGGACCGCATGCCATGTTAGACGAAATGCGGTATGCATGACCAAACTCGCGATAGTCTACCCGAGGGAGCGACGCGTGGCGGAGTCAACAGAAACCCTTGGTGGCGCGAGGGTTACTCTCTTTGCTTTTCTCCGAAGACCTGCAACAAAAAAACCAACTCCAACGTAAATGCAAGAGAGTCGTAGAACACAAAACACAAGTATCTAGCTCCACACGTTGAGACTAGCAGCTACTATCAATGCTAGACGCTGGAGAACGTATCGAGCTGTTCACTCACGTCTCTTCTCAATGGAAGCCTTCGCGATCATCTTCAACTCCGTCAAGGTGCATGGTCGATCGAGCTTGGCGAAGTGTTCTTCATCACTAGACGAGCAATCCGATCGTATCGTACCTACAGAATCGTCATCATCCGTTGAGTTACCTACCATCCTGCGATCAACTCATGCTGAAGTATGTCGGAGGTTACTAATCGTCGCGCACTCATCACTCTATTGCCGATGGTGGACGGAATACCAGAGTGGCCATTTAATCTCACTTCCAGACTTGCGTCGGTGTGCCGCGGCTGCTGCCTGCGCCGCTGATTGAGTGAGGCGAGCTACAGGAAGGTCTCCAGTAGGAACAAGTGGTGTTCCATCTCGCGGTCTACACAGCGGTTATTCAGACACGACGATCCTATCCTGTGTACGTCTCACATGTTGAAGCTAGGTGATGCAGGCGGAGACAACGCCGACATTTGCATCTAAAACATAAACTCGCAACATTCACTTGCCGTCCCTTACGGTCATCATATAGCCGAATGGCCGTTCTCCAGGGGGCATTCTCACGCTAGGCACAGCGTCTGCCCATCTGCTCAAGGATCGCTCAATGTAGTCGAGGTATTTCAGCAATACTTCGCTGTCACCTGAGACGGAACTCAAGAGCGACTCAAAAGTGATGTTTGCAATACTCACCTGGGATCTCTGCTTGATAGCCTTGGATTTCGGTCTTCCTCGGTGATCGGGGTTCCTGATGTTCTTCAATTTGCGAAGGGTCACCGCGGCCTCGTCGCTGAAATCAAGGATTGTCAGTCTGGCGAGTAACTCCATACCTCCTTGTGAAGAACTTGCGCCATCTCCTTCGTCGTAGACAGAGCGTCTTCGAGCAAAGTTTTGATCTCATCCAAAACCTCAAGGTTGCTTTCGGCGCCTTTCTTTTTCTCCTCGATGTCCCTCTCGAGTTGTACAAGTGCCTTTGGAACAACATCATGATGGTCCTACTTCTTCTACTAAATCGCCTGGTTATCTCATAACTTCTCGCTTTTTCCTCGCAAATGTGAAATCTCCTCGCGAGATGGTATTCCTCCCTCTCCAGACGACTTATAGCATACCTTTTGTCTTTTCTCAGCATCGCCAGCAACTCTGGCATGGTGCATGGCCAGAGCCTTCTTGAGTCTTCTGTTCTCCTTTTTCCAATCCTCGATGTCTCTCGACAGCACATTCGAATAAGTCCCCAACCTGACCAGGTGACTCAGCGGGTTCAACTCATTCCCTCGTGTTCACCCGTAATTCTCTTGTTCGGCCTTGACGAAGATTTTCACGATATCTCCGGCCTCTGTGACACCCGTGGATTGCTGGATAGTACGGAAAGCCTAAATGCCCGCCCACAAGACTGGTTGACGTACGTACGCTGGCCTCAAATATCACGTATGAGTACAACAAGTTATGTGAGAGTTGACCAAATACTCATTGTAGCCAGAACATGTGTTCGCTCGACTTGTTGCAATGTGTAGCATATCCTAAACCTACCTGCTCGAACACTTCGCTGTTCCTGTTATGTTGTCTAATATGTCTTCTTTGGATCGAGTTCAACAATGCTAGCTTTAATATTCCTGAATCCAGATGCACATTGTGGCTAATGGTCATTGACTTCTCTCACTTTTCATAGTATTCATCTCTGAGAAAGTCTCCTCTTCCACAGCATTCGTGTATTCCGCCTGGAGCGAGGAACTGCAGGAACCCTTGGTCGTATCATCGGTCTTACCAGGATCCCTTCTCTCGCCGATGACGGTAAGAATGGTTTACCATCACGATGACGACCTAGGGATCATCAGTTGGTGGAAGCAGGCCGGTCCTGGGGTACCTCGAGGGCTTCGCCGAGCGCTAAGCCTCTGTTTGATACTCTCGCGGTTGGTCTGCACCTCCCACTCCTGCCCTTCACGATGAATTTCTGTTATCTGCTTCTTCATATCTGCCACAGGTTCATACATGCACACGCATTGAATCATGATCATCAATGCTATTTATCACGTTAGGGAGATCTCTACGTCACAAGTCTGACATACTCAACCGGCAATGGCCCAAGGAGCACCTCCGATCTGCTTTCTAAAAGCTCGCTTCTCTGAGTCATCAGCGGCCTTTAACTCGGACAGTTTCTGTTGGCAGCCAACTGCTTCTTTTCTGTCCAACTCGAATTCAGAAGTGAGATCCCCGAGTGCAGCTGTAGTGCTTTTCACCTGCACGGGCATACGAGACTTCCCGTATTGCGGAAGAGTAGAAATGTTCTTGCCTGGTCAAGATTGTTTTTCAAGGCATCGTAGACTTGCACTTTCTCCATTCGCAGAGTATCGATATTCGTTCTCATCTCGCGGATTCTATCGTTCATTGTATTCAGAATACCAGAAGCCTTGGTTATTCTGGAGACACTCGGTCCCTTCAACTTGACAATGCTATTCAATGTAACAGTTACCTGGTCTCCAGGGATCTCATAGCCCCAGGCGAACAGCTCTGAAGCACTTCTTTCACGTGGCTGAGGTGGATGAATCGATTACTGTGGCTCTGTTCGCCTCTCACATGTCGAATCCAGCAGTTCCCGGTGCCATGTCGCTCGTCATTGCCTTCTCGCGGTAACTTATATATGCATATCACAAACGGGCAAGTGTCAACTGCTCACATATCCTGTTCGGACTTTTGCTTTTTGGAAGGCAGGATCTTAGTCTCCAACTCCGCTCGGGCTTGAGAAAAGTCTTCGATGAGCTTTCCTGAAGGTAGGTCTTCCATGAGACGAGTTGATGATGAAGTGAATCACTCAAGCGTCGACGCTCTAATTCCAGCTTCCGAGTTTTGACTTCGATACCACGGTGCAGTCGCTGTAGCTCAGCCGAAGCCGATGAACCACTTGGAGGGGCGCTCATCTTAGACTAGACTGAACCACTGACATACGGCACTTCCAGAATGGTGCGATTCCATCCAACAGCAATGCACGAGTGGAGAGTCGCCCGGATGAATTTCATATGATAGTCGACTATCAACTTTTGCAGTGATCAAGCACGTGGTAATTCGACGAGGACCTCTTCAACCTCAGGGCCTCCAGCTGTCATCAACTACAGGCAAGCTTGCAGAGGCTGGTGACAACGTGATTCTACGACGGTCGAGGAACTTACGCAAGCCGTGTTATGGATATAAGAACGTAGTATACAAGAATGTCATGCTGGCAACTTTGATAATCCATTCGTTGTATAAAACGTGTTGAACCGAAGCATGGGGAACCTCCGCCACTCTTTCTCGCCATTAGGCGACGAGCAAAGTATCGCGGACGAAATGTAATCTTTGACGCCCTCCGGCGCACTCGGTTCATACAACGCTCAGGATGACAGGAATAGCCTATCCAGTGCAACAGCCGAAACATGGTACCGTAGGCTCCATGTCATCGAATATAAGTTGGATTACGCTACATGAAGGTCCTCTTTCACTAACTTCTCAAGGTTGGCGAATCTTGAAATCATAAAGTTTATGACATAAACCTAACCTAACAAACTTAGAAAATTCCAAGTATGTTTCACTGATCCCTCAGCCTCCAAAGTAAGAAGACGAACCTTTAGCATGAGATTAAGCAAGATGTCAAGTAAGAACTGAGCAAGTTCTTGAAAACTTACTGGAAGCTTGAAAAGTTGTTCGTGAATTTATACAAAAACCAAAATTTGGTAAAAAAAAGACAAGTCGAGAAAAATAGATTCAAAGTCAGATCATGCTTAGTTGCTCAATGGTGGGGAGCGAGTTGGACGAGCTCAGCGGAGAGCGTGGTCCATCCCGTAACACACATGGTACTAACATGTGTGTTGCGGGATGGACACACCAACATGATGTTAGTTATGTCTGTTGAACAACAAGTCTGGGAGGGGAAAGGGTCGGTGAAACATCTGAGTTAGAGGTGACGACGATAAAACCGTCATTAGCTGTGGAGAAGCATGAATGATCGTAATATTAGAGCGCGCGCAATCCTGTGCTTTCTTTGACCGTGTCGAACGAGTTGAGCATTGAGTAAAACCTCACTCTCCGGGGATCGTACTCACGGGGATTGAGGCACGCCAGCCGAGTGTAATGATGTGAGTTCAGAAATTCCGCGAGTCAAGATCGGAGCTAGCTTCATCAGTCGGGCCTTACCGAAATCTTAAGTACGTCCCGAGGAACGGGCGTTAGTGGAACGAACAGACTCCCTTACTCATAGTTCTTAGAAAATATAGATGGGCAGAATTACGTTACGGGTCACTTTTACGGTTACGATTCAAGCTCCGTACCGTAAATTTGTGGCGCCGTAATGGGTCTTACGGAGATGCAGAGGACAAAATGAGGATTGATAATTCAAGTTGCCTAAATCTACATATTTCATGAGGCCGACTTGGCAGTTCCGGGCCAGCCTGGGAATAAGACGGACCGAATTTGCAGAGGAGACGAGTGGTAAATGCCAATCCAAATGTTACTCTCTCAGCGGTTCGGTTGAATTCGAGCCACAGGAAATGACCTTAACAACTATTTGAGCTATCGTGAAGTGCATTACAGCAAATCTTTCAGCCCCAATTCTAAGAAAGTTTCTTAAAGAAACAGTTCAGCATTAGACACAAAGTCATAAGGCCTTTCCGTAACCATGAAGTGCTCACGTTACGCAGGCCGTAAGGTAAACCGTAGAAAAACGTTACGCTGCCCATCTATATTAGAAAACCAACATCAGGTCTTTGGGTTTCTAACCTTGAGGGTGAGTCTGAGGGAGTTAAGTAATCATAGCCCTTAGTGAAACGCTCCATCCTTAGTTTCTCTAGTTTCTTGCCGTCCTAAGGTAAGTGAGCAACTACTGAAAGAGGCCCAATGGATAGACGGCACAAATAACTTCGAGAGTGCAAGGATAACCATTCTAAGTTACTCACCTACATAGATGAGTGGGAACGCTAAGGTCACAATGGTGCACATAGAGTGACTCAGCTAAAGAGACATAATGCTCAACTACTGCTTACCTACAGCATAGATTACCTGCCAACACAGATAGTGTAGAGACACGAGTCAATACTACAAACTATGACATGATGACTACCATATACGTTGCGCCTTGACGCTGATTGAACTCCAGCCACTGGAGTCCAGTGGCATCTCTCGCGCGCTCCACTCTCAGAGTGGCAATTTGTGAATCGGGGGATGAATTCCTAGAGTAGGAATTAGAGGGACTCATTAGCCTTCTTTGCAGAACGCAATGAATGCGCGAGCGACTGATATGCCAATCACGTGTGAAAAGAAGAAGAGCCGAAGTGACCGTCCGAGTCTCACATTACAGCAAAGTGCTATTTGCGCGCTTCAGCAAACATGCATGAATGGAGCACAAACTGCGTGAACTCTAGTCGCATATTGAGCACATGAGCATATTGTCGGCTCAATCTGTAATATGGCCCCAGGAGCAATCTTCGGCTTGGAGGAGCCAGGCTCGTAGAGCAACACACATCGAACATGATGAGCTTTCCCTTCCCATTTCCGATATCTGCGAGGATAGGGGTCACATTACTCGGACGATGCGTGCCGTAACTACGATATTCACGTGTGCTTGGACGCGGTGTGCAGTAATTCTTGCTCGCTAGCAGAATCACTTCCATCGAGCAATAGCCCACAACGATTTCTACGGAGCTAAGAGGAGAGGGACATGAAAAAGGAGAAGCACTTCTTCTGAAGCTTCGTTATTGGTCGCATTCCACTCGCACAAACGGTGCGCTACACCAGGATGCAACCAGATAGATGGCAGGTGATGTAACTGGCGCGGTTTTGACCGCGGATTCACTTCTCATGCTAAACAAATGCAGTGTCTTCACTTATTTCTTTTCCTCATGAAAGAAGCGTCTCCCTCATGTGAGAAGTCTCCGCTGTCACCTCCGAATCATTACGCGTATGCGATTCGCATGCCATCCAGCAGGAATGGCCGGGTCGACGAGCTCAAAGTCGCACCTGAGTACCACCGCCGCCGCCGACTACTTTGGATATTCCCGTTGATTCTCATCTCTATCGTACCCGTCTATCTAATGAGCTCCCTACGAGCCAAAGATCATCGTTCGAGAGTCAGTCTTGACCAATCTCACTCTCATCGACTTGGAACAACTCCGTCTATGACGCATGAACAGGTCGTAAATATTGGAGCAGCAGATCTCAAAATTATCGAGTGCCCGAGAACAGGTGGCGAGTTGAATATGTCCTATTATCGCAATGGTGACTTTTTCCAGAGGGCTCTAGCAGACGCTCCTGTGGAGCCTCTAAGGGTATATGAGCGGGCACGCGAGGTCTGTGAAGGGCCACGCTTGGACGAGGTCGACCCGCAAATTAGCTCCGCCTCACACTGGAAACATTGTCTACCGATACATCCTAACCACAACCGGTTGGAATGCGCAGGTGCTACTCGTAGCACTCTCCTCGACCCAAGAGTATTGAAGCCTGTGTGCGGGTCAGCAGTCCTTGACATGCTCACCATCGATGTCTATCGTGCCATGGAGGAGTTCGGATGCCAGCCTATGCTAACCCACGGCACCGCCCTGGGAGCTGTTCGGAACGGTACGCACATCCCCTGGACTGCAGACTCAGATATTGCCTATTTCTTGCCACCTGGCGCATCGCCGTGCGTACAAAGAAATGAGTTTGCAGAACGTCTCCGCGGCCTCGGCTATTTCCTATTCAAGCACAACATCTGGCGGGTTTGCATCGCTTCACATCATCCACTGGCCGGGCGATTGTATGACATCGATATGAGCATCATATTCAATATGACTCGGGTATGTGATTCATTCGGATGTGTTTATGTTGACTTGTATGGATTAACTGATCACGGAGATGACGGCTACTCGCATGAATGGCATCGTAGCGGTAAATACTTCCGTATCCCTTCGGAGAAGGTTCTCCCAGCAAGCACTATCAGCCTCAATGGTTTATCATTCTCAACCTATCATGACATTGATTGGTTCTTGTGGGCCACTTACGGGAAGAACTATCTCACGCCAAAGCGCGAAGAGGGGGAGGACGAAGATATGGATGGAGGATGATGAGTATGATTCTGGCGTATGAGACGATTTGACGATGGAAACAAGTTTCACTTTTCCCAGTTATCGGTCAGCTCGGCGATACAGGAGGCGCGTCAGCCTCAGAGCGATAAGAAACTGATGACTTTATCCATCAACCTTTCCTCATTAATTGCCTTAACCAATAGATGAGTTGCCACCACTTCCTGGCTCATAGCTTGGTCATTTCATTCGAGGCACGTGTTGTGTTTCTCCAAAGCAGTTTCATACTTTGGCAAGTACAGAAGGGCAGGAGCTTACTTCTTATATTCTATAGCAGTACGAGTATGATGATAGATGGACTCTGTGAATTCCATCAACAGTTAATGAGTAACTATTGCCTCGAGTTCCCAAATGGTTAACAACATGCTCAAGTATGCGCTCGCATCAATGAGCACAGAGTGTTTCTGGTAGGAGCCCAATCTAAGGTCGGCAGCTTCATACCCTGAGTCTATGTATCCATTCCTGTCGACTATTCGTCAAGGAGACTAACAAGCCTGTGATCTTGTCAACGAACTCCGTTGCCGCTGAATGTTCAGAGTCAAGATGGAAGTGTCGGCAAATAGACTGTAATGCACTACTCACCGACGAAAATATGATCGAATCAACATGAGGCTGATGTCGGTTCGATCAGATCCATCGCAAGACGATGATGGTCATCCGCGAGGCAGCCGAACATCGCCACGCTAGAAGATTCATGAGATCCCTTGTTGCTCCCTATAATCAAGTCGTGTTGTTGCACCATTGATCCATTTCATGTGTTCAAGGATAAGGGAAGAGTATGCTAAACGTGGATGCGTGCGACCCCGGCTGGAAGGTCTGTGTGTTCGATTTGCCTAGTGAAGTGGTGATTATAAGAAACCAACTTGGGAGGTTCAATCTGATTCAGGAGTTTCAGGAAGGGCTCGATTCCCGCTGATAACGACGGGTAGAACTCGATCAGTACGAGGCAGGCGAGAAGGCTTGATCGGACAAAATTTCGTTCATCGAATATTTTCACTGCGTCGTACGCAGGGAGCCAGAATATTCCTGAGCATACCAAACTGGCAGGTCAATCTCGAATATGCACACAAGTAGAAGGTACACAAGGGAGCCCAACCGTTCTTTGAGTCTTTCGAAGAGCCACCTGAGAGAGTCTGGGTGTTACTCACTGCAGTGCAGTGGCTGCACCTGGGTATATTTTTTGTGGTAGTCTGTAATGACAGGCCTCAGAGAGGAGCGGAGACCGG